AACCTATTTCTCGGTGTGCAAAGAGAACATGGGCTTACTGCAACAACAGGCATATAGTGTGACTGAAAACATGTTGATCAGGAAGGGGAAGTGATATTAAAACCACAAAAAAAGTAATTTTTAATATACCCATTACAAAGCATGGGCTTGTCATCAGTGGGGTACCTCAGGGATCTGTACTTGGACCCATTCTCTTTAATATTTTTATTAGTGATATTGCAGAAGGTCTTGATGGTAAGGTATGTCTTTTTGCTTATGATACTAAGATATGTAACAGGGTTGATGTTCCAGGAGGGATATGCCAAATGGCAAATGATTTAGGTAAACTAGAAAAATGGTCAGAGCTGTGGCAGCTGACATTTATTGTGGATAAGTGCAAGATAATGCATTTTGAACGTAAAAACCCAAGGGCAGAGTACAGAATATTTCAAGATCTGAAGAAAGGGATTTAGGGATAATTATTTCAGATGACGTAAAGGTAGGCAGACAATGTAATAGAGAAGCAGGAAATGCTAGCAGAATGCTTGGTTGTATAGGGAGAGTTATTAGCACTAGAAAGAGGGAATTGTCATGCCATTATACAGAACACTGGTGAGACCTCACTTGGAATATTGTACGCAGTACTGGAGACCGTATCTCCAAAAGCATATTGATACTTTAGAGAGAGTTCAGAGAAGGGCTACTAAACTGGTTTATGCTTAAACAAGGAAAGGTTAAAGGATCTTAACATGTATAGCTTTGAGGAAAGATGAGACAGGGGGCATATGATAAAACATTTAAATACATAAAGGGAATCAATACAGTAAAGGAGGAGACTATATTAAAAAGAAAAATAGACTACCACAACAAGAGGACATAGTCTTAAATTAGAGGGGCAAAGGTTTAAAAATAATATCAGGAAGTATTACTTTACTGAGAGGGCAGCGGATGCATGGAGTAACCTTCTAGCCGAAGTGGTAAAGGTTAACACAGTAAAGGAGAGTTTCAGCATGTGTGGGAAAGGCATAAGGCTATCCTAACTATAAGATAAGGCCAGGGACTAATGAAAGTATTTAGAAAATTGGGCAGACTAGATGGGCCAAATGGTTCTTATCTGCCGTCACATTCTATGTTTCTATGTTACAAAGAAATAAAACAGTGTCATATAAATATAACTATCTGAAATTAGCTTCCAAAGTAACTTTCATTTGCAATTTCCTTCTAAGTGTTATTTAAGACAATGATCTGAGATAACCTAAACTGGCTTTGTCACCCTCCGGCCCCCCAACATGATCTTCCATAAATCTTTGTTGTTGGATTCTCAGGCAGAGGGAGAGTACAACACTGCCGTAGACTTCTCGCAGTTAATGTGCCTGTAGCTGAGGAGGACCTTTAGGAAGACCATGGCGGTGGCCACAAGAGACAGATTCAGGTAAGTGTAACTCACCCTCTCCTGCACCCCGCAGCAAGCCTGGACATCCAGCAGAGCCTTCACTTTCAGGAATCTTTGCAATTTCTGGAAAGACTCCAGCCAGTGCCAGAGCCGCTTTAAAATGTAAAATGATTGGCTCATAAGGTACAAGTAAAAATCTAATACAACTAACGCAATAAAGTGAAAAAGTGACTATTTTCCACTAAAAGGCAAATATTACTATACTGTTTAACAGCTAGGAGTGTGGCTGAAGTTACACCTCAGTCACAATGCCTTTAACCCCTTAAGGACCACACTTCTGGAATAAAAGGGAATCATGACATGTCACACATGTCATGTGTCCTTAAGGGGTTAAACATATATCTAAAAAGGGAAAATAATGGCAATTTGTAGTCAAGGAAAGTGCCCCATCTAGATGGGTGTCTGTAGGCATCTGATTCCTCTGCCTATTGTCAAACCTGGCCCTGTATGTAGAGTATTTTAGGACTTCTCTAAGTAAAGGCCACCCAGAAAGTTAGCAAGTGTATGCAGAAGTTGTGTAAATTTTATGGCAAAGTAAAGTACTGACATAATTTGATTCACAAGCCCTTATGATAGGCAAGGGCATAATCAGGGTTGCCACCTTTCTTGGAAAAAAAATACCAGCCACACTAATTTGTATAATTGATTATATATGCGTATCATCACAGGACACTATTATTATTATTATTATTATTATTTATATAGCGCTAAAACATTCTGCAGTGCTGTACAATAAGTGGACTAACAAACACGTAATTGTAGCCAGACGAGTTGGACGCACAGGAAAAAGGGGAATAAGGGCCCTGCTTAATGAGCTTACATGCTAGAGGGACACAATGTCATCAGATGTTAAGTAACACCACAGGGAGTGACATAATGGAAAAAAATTGGAAGGGGAAAATTCCCTAAATACTACTTACAATGTGTGTGTAGCATTGTGTATGTGTAGCAGTCTGTGTGCATGTATGTGTATATGTATAGCAGTGTGTCATTATGTGTATACTATGTATAAGAGTCTATATTGCAGTGTGTGCATGCTGTGTCTGAGTGTGTACGTGTCAGTGTGTACTTGCTGTATGTGTGTGGGTAGTATTGTGTGTATACTGTATACTGTGTCTGCGTGAGGGGTTGCCATTGAGTGTATATAGCAATGTGTGTACATTCCATGTATAATAGAGGTAGGTATTCTGGCTTCATTTCTTTCACCCCTTTCCCAGAAATCCAGTCAGAAAAAAATCCTAGCCCTTCATTACTATTATTTTTGCTATATATTATATATATTATACCAACAGTGGCCAAACAGCCTGAAATACCGTCCATATAACACTGCCCTGCCTGTAACCCGAGACATAACACAGAGGTCATAGTCCTAAATGGATATTCTTTGGGACCTTCCTTCCATTGGTTTTACAAATCCTCCTTCTTGTTATAGGTTGAGTCTGAATTTAGAGGGAGAGTAGAAAAACTATGATGCAAGCTGATCCATTTTGTGACTGACTGAGAGTATCATATACCTGTGTTCTCGGTCTGTAATACAGGAAACCAGAGAAGGACTAGGGAATAGAGATTTGTGATAATTCCTACACTAGATCATCAGGTAGGGATGAGATTACAGAGGATACCCATCTTGGAGTACAGTGGGTTTCTTAGTCACAAGTGCTCCTACTTCGTTATCATGTTTGATGATAATTTTAATGCATTTATTATGAATTAGACAGTTACACGAATGGACTAAATGTGCCAAAATAATATTCTTTTGTCTAGTTGATATATAAGTTTTTGGCAGTTTTAGCCTCTATCGCCTTGAGTTTCAAGCAAAATATGCTATATCAGGTTTTTTTCACCAGTAATGTGGAGAATTGACAAGGGGATTGCAAATTGTAGGCTGAAAAAGCCAATCTGGAAAAAACCTAAGCTGAAAAAAGCTCACATATTTTAGGTTTTTTTTTTATATATATATATTTAAATTGAGTTTTCAGGTGTGTATGCATTATTGCATAAGAGTTCGCTTAATTTTCTTATGCAGTGTTACGAAAACTGACAATATTTTAATTTATCTTATAACTCATATCTCATAATTGTGTTCTAGATGCATTGTACAGGCTCTTAAAAGAGTGCTTTGACAAAAAGGAAAGAAAAAGACTCATGAAAATATTTTTACCTCCAGGTCTTCCTGGCATGCCATAGTGGTTCTAACCCTACTGGACATAAAAACAAAACAAGTTAAATAAAGCTATATGTTTCCTTAGGTGTTGGATATATTAATTCAGTCCCACAAATATTATAGATGTTATCATGGAGAAAGACTATGGTGCACTGCTACCGCTTTCTAGGGCAGGCTTTCATTTTTTCAATATAAAGTATAAAATACCTTCCCTTAGGACAAAATCTGTTAAGGGGTAATGGGATTTAAAAACAGGATAGATTATATTTCTTGGAATCTGGAGCAATGCTCTGACACAGAATAACTAATCACTGGTATCTGTGTTCTCTCGCATCATATTGAAAATCAAAATGCAAGAGGTACATATTGATTAATTTACAATAAGATATATGACATCCAAATAAATAAACTAGTTCCTAAAATGATATAATAATAGCTATATTATAGATTGTATTTGCCAAATATTTTTGTTTGGCTACTAATTTGACTTTGAGGAAAAATTTGCTTTTTTACAACTATATGATATATTATCAGCCTGCGGAATGATAAACATGTATTTTAAAGGAAATTGCAAAAATGCTGAGTCTGGAACAAAGTGAACACAATCTATCTGCATTTAAAGCTCTGTTTCAACCCAAATTGCCTACAGTTTACTGTTGGTGTGCGCTGTAGATAACAAAACATCTTACCCCAAAATGATAAGCATTTTACATCTGATTTTCAAAGAGTTTACCCACTTCAAAGGAATCCATACCACCACAAACTTCCTGCCTGTGTGCATGCATTTTCTTCATTCACCACAAAACTCCCCAAAAATCTGATTTTTTTTTAATCAAGAAAATCATTACACAGAAAAACATTATGTTTCAACCATGAACAGATTCTCAGACAACTAAGTTATCAATGTGGCCCCGGCAAAATCAAGTCAACACAAGAGACAGTGTTAACTCAGGATGAGGAAAATGTAATCTAAGTAAGTTATTAATTATACTATGTGGTGATTATTTTTCTAATTACTCTCATCATATACAGGGCCAACATGTTCAGCAGTGTAATAACTAGTCAGAAGTGTTTAATCAATGTAAAATTAATAGAAGCAAGAGATACTAAGGTCCTTGAGCAAACAGCTTACAATCTTAATGAATTATTCTAAGCACTGCTCCCAATCAGAAGGTGCCTTTTCAGAAAACCACTTGACTTTGGGATTGAAACAGTCAACTACACAATCTAATATATTTGAAGGGAAACATTTGCTTGAAAAGAAAATAACAGCCATACAATAAGTTAATTAAAAAAAAAGAACTTAACTGATGGCTAAACTAAAAAGAAGGAAGAGAAAGGAGGAAATAATGAGGGAATATAAAGGTTCCGCTTTTAATGAGCACAGAAGAGTTTAAAGAGAGAGAGAAAAAAAAACCCGGTCTAAAGCAGAGAGAGAGAGAGAGAGAGAGAGAGAGAAAGAAAGAAAACTTGTTGGAGGAGGGGAGGAGGTGAGAAAACAAAAGAGAGAGATAGAGGGCTGCTGGGTGCTTTTCTCTCTCTTTCTTTTTCCCCCTCTCTCTCTCTGTCTCTCTCTCTTTCACAGACACACAGAGCAGGGTTAGGAGGAGCTGTTTTGCATCCATTCACGTCAGCCCTGCCTCATTCCCTTCTTCCTTCCTGCTAGAGAAAGACAGAAAGAGCTGAGAGGCTGAGAGAGAGGGAGAGAGAAAGAGAGATAAGGCATCCAGGCAGCACCTCTCCCTGTGTTTGTCTACACTCCCCCTGGGAATACAGCTCAGCTCCCTAACCCAGAAGCCTTGCACCCACAGAAAAAGAGGTAAGTCTCACACTTTTCTCTCTTTTTCTATGTCCCTTGACATCTCACACTACTTTAGTAAATATAAATATTAACAGCCCTCACAACAACTCACCCCCTTCTCCTAACTCCCTCCCCCACCTTTAACTGATGGTACGCTCCACACTGGGAAGGGTGGGCAGTAGGACCAGGTCTTTGCGTGACAAGAGGGGGGTAATTATCAGAAGCTAATATTGTCTGTTTTTTTGTTTTTGTTTTCTTCCTCTCTCTCTCTTTCACTTCTCCGTTCACTTGTGTCAGTGAGATAGGAGGAAGAGAGATAGAGAGAGGGAGATGGCGTCTCAAGGGGGTAGGGAGAGGAGTAAAGAGAAAAGGGAGGGAGAGGTAGGGGAAGAGAGAGAAGATAATGCAAGGAGTGTGAGAAGAGGCAGTCAGTCCTGCTGCTATGCCCATCCATATATATACAATGCACGTGTGGCACACAGTTCAGTTGTTGAGTTTAGATTTAAGTTTGTGTAGTGGTTTTTTTTTTTTTTTTTGCTTTCTGAATCCAAATGGGTCAGTGATGGCTAACACTTGGAGTTCAAGATAGGTTGGGTTTTGTGGACTTTTCTTGTGATCAGCTGGCTGAGCATGATGAGAACAATAATAGAATACAAAGGCTGGAGTTCCAAATGTGTTCCATGATTCTATATTCTGAGAAAGTTTAGCATGCTTGGGCTGCTGGAGTATTTGTAGCGCATTATGCGCATAAATACTGAGGGAGATGGTGCTGCAATGAGGGTTTGTGATGTTCATCAATTTCATTGGGAGGAAGTTCCCTCCATCTAGTTATCTAGAAGACCATATAAAAAGTGAGGTATTGTGGGTCCCTAGGGTTGGGCAGTGCATATTAGCCAGCCTCACAGGCTTTTCACAGCTTACAGAGATGCCTGTTTTACAGCTTCAGTTCAGCAATTAAAGCTTGCAAAGTGAGATCCAGACCCCCACGCCCCTCCCAATGCTAGCATAATGGTGTCAAAAAATAAAATAAATAAATTACAAAACATTTTATTGTTTTTTTTTTTTTACTGGTGCTGCTTGCTCTGCAGGTCATGTTATGAATGTTTTAAAATAAAATAAATCATAAGCATTTCCCTAAAATGGGGAAAAAAATACCAATTCAATCATTTTGCTGCTCAGAGATAGAAAACTGTTGACAGTCCTGGTTTGGAGTTTAGAGTATCTCTCAATATCCTCAGACAACAGCATGATAGGGTTTATAACACACAGCAACTGTCATTCCAGAGGTTTCCTTTTTTCTGGGTATGTTCCGTTGCATATCTTTTATTTATCTCCTCATTGTAGTTGTAGCCATCATATTGCGTACAAAGTTAATTTTTTTGAAATTTTTAGTGCATTTAGTTTTTAGTGGTCCAGTGCCTAACCCATCGGAGAAACTGCCCTATGTTGGAAACCAGACATAGACTGTGTGACACTGTGTTTTAACTGACTATATCTGTGCTCTCGTTGTACCAGGCAGGTACAGCAATGAAACAAAACCCTTCATATAATTAAAAACCTTAACTATTGAAAGGCATATCATTGTCACAGACTTGAGGGGCCTGAGGCATAAGTGAAAGCTTTGCAACTCTTGTTCCTACTCTATAGTAAACGTAAGAGTTAATGTGATTGGATCCATGTTAAGTGGTTTATTATTCTACTTGCATTATAAACCCAATAGTGTCATAGACCAAAAATATAAGTGTCACTTGGTAAACAGGGTTTTAATATAGCAAGATTTTCTAGGTGTAAAGCAAACTGTTGCACAGGAAACTTTCATTGATGTGCTTTCATTTTTAGCAAAATGTCATGTTTCAGTATAATCCTCTTTAACGCCAATCATTTGGAAACAGCTAGTTGTCTCAGCATGGGTTATGTTTGAGTGAGTGCAACAGTTTAGGCAAAATGAGGCAGGCAATTTTTATATCTTAAAAAAACAGAACAGATAAAGGGGCTGTAAGGATTTTAGCTAAGCGATAACATCTGTCTCAATGCCAAAGCACAAATAGTTTTTCTATGGTTTCTATCTGTGGTGATAGATCATTTAATCTTATTTCTGTACAAAGATGTAAACTGTAAATTTATGATTTTTAAAAATAAAACATAAAATATTGGAATTGTTCCTTATGAAAGGTGATATCAGTATACACATACTTTAAATGTTCCATATGAGTGTTTTCTTATACAGATATAAAGATTCTAGAATTCTAGTATTCCTTTTAATAAGGGTGGGAATATGCTAGTAGTGTTCTAAGCAGTTTATTGGCTTTGTTGTGTTTGTACGGAAAAAAAAAAATCTAGTTCCAGAGTGTGGGCTGAATATCTTTCCTGAAATAGCACAGGTCATTGGTTTTTGTATAATGAACAAGTTTCAGTACCTCCCAGACTCATGTTTAAATGTGTAGTACTAGACTCAAAACAGGTATATCAGGTTTTGAAAGTTGTTGAAGTTTTTATTAGTTCATTCATACTGAATGTTCATAGCTGTGTAGTAATATGTTGTAAGATGCACCTTACACAAAGGGTTTAAAGATGTATTCTTCTTAATTATAAGCTTTTTTTTCTTTCTGCTCCCTTTTGATTGTTTTTTTTTTTTCTTGTTTAAGCCAAGCATCCTTTAATTTAGACACTTCCTATAAATCGCAATATGATATAAATGTCATTATAACTCAAGGAGACATTGGTGCTTTTGTTACTTAGGACTGCAGTTGTTTTACATCGTATTAAAAATGTAAAACTCAGTACTATTCTCTAAAGTGAAAATTGCAAGGAATTCAGAGTAAATTTCTAAATTTTCATCAAATTTTCAGATTGACTATTTTGGCCTCAAATTTAAAAATCACTTTGGATTCCCAGCAATTGTCTCTTTAGTAAATAAGCCTGAAAAAAAAGTTTTTCTTTATACAATAGTAATATTTCTATGACTATCTCTCTGGATTTAGAAATACGCCTGTAGTATGAAACTTGTTAGTCAATGTTGTGATTACACTGCCTCTACTGGATTGTTATGCGACTGCCCCTGTGCTTAAGCAGAGTTTTGCTAAATAGCCACAGAATGCATCCTTATATTATTTATCTATGTCATGCAGAGTTTTTTGACGGGCAACTTGTTAGTTGTTGTGGAAGTTCAACCTGTGCTTCTGAGTCGTCTCTCTCCTTTGCTAGGTTTGGTGAAGATTGATGGGAGTGGTAATTAAACAATAGTTAGAGAGCTTCCTGTTCATGCTGTCTGCTTCAATGTATATTTACTAAGCTCAAAAATGCTAAGCTACAGTGTTGTTCAAGACTAATGACTATCATTCTATAGGCTTATTTCTGCAGATATTTGTACTATTCTTGTGTAACCAAAAATCGTAACTGCCATATTAATTTTCAGCTACCCAACAACTTGTTGGCCATGTTGAATTCTATAGGAATGAGTAGATCTTGGCACGTACCAATAACTATTTTAATGATTTGGGAAATTCCAGTGAACCTGGGTGCAGTCAACTACATTATAGTTTTGCGCACATGCGCGGTTCGTTCACAATTGTTGCTTTATTGCTTTAAAAAAAATAAAAAGTAATTGGAAGAGTCACTTTAAATTAATACCTCTGGTAGTCTTCATAACTTGCATTATCACAGATTTATACTGGAAATTAGTGAACAAGGGTTCAGCTGTTCTGATAAAACTTAATTTGGGACCTTTCTAGATGAGATGACCTTGAGTTGTTTTAAGATATTCATTAAGTGCATTCCTTTAGTGTCTTGCCACAAAGATTCCAAGGAACAACTTGCCAGTTGTACTAGCCAAAAGTCCATGATGTCAGTCCTCATGGTGTATTCCCCAAACTGGAAATTACGTAGAATTGACAATGGACTTGCATGGTTAATGCCAGACAATCTGAAAAATACAGCATGATAATTTTTACACTTTGGTTATTTAGGCCCATGATGTACTATTGACCGTTGAATTCTGGTGGCTATAAATAAGAAAGTGTGTTGTTCCAAAAGCTGGTCTGGAAGACCTCATGGAATTGTGGAAAAGTGGTGGTGACTGCATGTGAGCAAGGTGGTGGCCACATGCAACCACTATGGCTGCACACGAGAACCTCTGGTGTAAAATATGTGGGTCTGCTGAAGACTTTTATCTTAAGACTGCCTTTATACACTCAATGTACTAAATCCCATAGAAGTTTTTTAGGAATTACCATAACTGGCATTTATTGGACTGTATACAGATAGAATAGGGGACAATCTGCTAAATACAAATAAAATAAAAAACATAGCGTACTACTGTGTGGGGACTGGTACTGGCGTGCAATCACAATTGGTCACTCACAATTTTAAGGAGTTAAAACAGCCTTGAATGGTATCTTTATGGAGTTAAAACAGCCTTGAATGGTATCTTTCAGTATCCAGTATGTTGTCCCTCCTCACATATTCATCAGCGAATGGGTGTATATGTCTCATAAGAGAAAAATATGTACAAAAATGTAGTGCACTTCCAGAATATAATAAAAAGTATTTTAATGACTTACATTTAAGTATAAAACAAACAGCATGTCACCATAAACGTCTTACGCGTTTCGTCCTAGGGTTGGACTTCCTCAGGGACTTGGTGTGATAAGGTGCAATAAAAAATAGTTGCTGCTATTTTTTGTGAACACAACCCCAGTGAAAAAATATATATATAATATAGAAGCAAACCAGGACTTCCCTTATCTTAAGACATATACACCCATTCGCTGATGAATATGTGAGGAGGGACAACATACTGGATACTGAAAGATCCCATTCAAGGCTGTTTTAACTCCTTAAAATTTTGAGTGACCAATTGTGATTGCACACCAGTACCAGTCCCCACACAGTTGTACGCTATGTTTTTTTATTTTATTTGTATTTAGCAGATTGTCCCCTATTCTATCTGTATATATCTATTGAAGACAAGAGGAAGTCTTCGGGGATTCATCTGGATACTTCACCTTAAGATAAGGGAAGTCCTGGTTTGCTTCTATATTATATATATATTTTTTCACTGGGGTTGTGTTCACAAAAAATAGCAGCAACAATTTTTTATTGCACCTTATCACACCAAGTCCCTGAGGAAGTCCAACCCTAGGACGAAACGCGTAGGACGTTTATGGTGACATTCTGTTTGTTTTATACTTAAATGTAAGTCATTAAAATACTTTTTATTATATTCTGGAAGTGCACTACATTTTTGTACATATTTTTCTCTTATGAGACATATACACCCATTCGCTGATGAATATGTGAGGAGGGACAACATACTGGATACTGAAAGATACCATTCAAGGCTGTTTTAACTCCATAAAGATACCATTCAAGGCTGTTTTAACTCCCTAAAATTGTGAGTGACCAATTGTGATTGCACACCAGTACCAGTCCCCACACAGTTGTACGCTATGTTTTTTAATTTTATTTGTATTTAGCAGATTGTCCCGTAATTCTAACTGTATATATCTATTGAAGACAAGAGGAAGTCTTCGGGGATTCATCTGGATACTTCACCTTAAGATAAGGGAAGTCCTGGTTTGCTTCTATATTATATATATATTTTTTCACTGGGGTTGTGTTCACAAAAAATAGCAGCAACAATTTTTTATTGCACCTTATCACACCAAGTCCCTGAGGAAGTCCAACCCTAGGACGAAACGCGTAGGACGTTTATGGTGACATTCTGTTTGTTTTATACTTAAATGTAAGTCATTAAAATACTTTTTATTATATTCTGGAAGTGCACTACATTTTTGTACATATTTTTCTCTTATGAGACATATACACCCATTCGCTGATGAATATGTGAGGAGGGACAACATACTGGATACTGAAAGATACCATTCAAGGCTGTTTTAACTCCATAAAGATACCATTCAAGGCTGTTTTAACTCCCTAAAATTGTGAGTGACCAATTGTGATTGCACACCAGTACCAGTCCCCACACAGTTGTACGCTATGTTTTTTTATTTTATTTGTATTTAGCAGATTGTCCCGTAATTCTAACTGTATATATCTATTGAAGACAAGAGGAAGTCTTCGGGGATTCATCTGGATACTTCACCTTAAGATAAGGGAAGTCCTGGTTTGCTTCTATATTATATATATATTTTTTCACTGGGGTTGTGTTCACATACATTTTTTATTTATTGGACTGTTATGGTTCTTGTTCTACCTACCAAGCTTTCTGTTGTCTCTTCTCAATTAAGGCACCTGCCAAATGTATGGTGATGCTGTAATTAAACAACTCCAAAGGGCCGGTAATTAGTGATGTACAGGAATACACGGTTGTGCAAGATGTATGAAGCAACAAGTGTACCTTATAAATATAATGAGGTAGACCCATGTTTAAAAAATGCACATATCTAAGGATAATACAAATAACAAAAGGGATGAAAGCATCCTGAGATACATCTCGTCATGTTTCAAATCATCTATATATTGTATTATTAAAAATATGATAAATCCAACCAAAAGTGTTGTATATTTCTTCATGTAAATAACACTCTAATAATGTGTGCTTGTTCAGTAATTCCCTTTTTCAAATGTTTTGTCCTATGCATTTATATATATTTTCCGTTGTTATTTTCTTCCCTGTGTTTTTATGCAGCTTTGAAATATTAATAATTTTATTTTCAAATGGATTGTGCAGATACCCTTACATTGTGTTTATTTGAAGACAACAAATCAAAATAAACCTTAACACTCTGCATAACTAAGGGCTAGTTTAAAAAGTTGGCAACCACAAAGGAGCCACTTCCTTTTGTACAGACATGTATGCTAGCCTCTACGCCGAGCTAAGCATGATGGGAAGTTTATCCATGACCACATAAAGCTTTCATTTCAGCGAGTTAAACCTTTTCATCTCTGCAGTTCTAAAGATGGCGTTCTCTAAGAGATTTTTACATTTTAACTCATAGGGTCCATAGAGGTAGCTGAAACCTGAGGGATTTCTCTTACCAGAGTGGAAGCTTTAAATCTAAAAACATCACTTAGGAGTGTACTGGCAAGTAATTACCAAATTGTGATGTAGAGAGAGCAGACTATACTTAATATCAACTTTATTCATATTAAAATATAATAACTTAATATGTAATGTAAGGTTAATATAAAGAACGTCATTAAAATGATAAAGTGCACCCTTCATCATAATAGATCAGAATAGCAATATAAGTTTCTACTTGTAAATTCTGTCTACAATTCCATACAATTAGACAAACTCTGTTTCTTTTGACCATTGTGTTAGCAAGCGGAATGTATGATATTTAAATTCTAACTAATACTGATCCACAGAGAGAATAAAAGTGTATTTCCTGACAGTGAGGTTATAAACTTTGAGTTCCAGTTATAAAGATTTGCCTTCTCGATATTTCCAGTAAACACAGTTAGGCTCTCTTAAACTGGGCTCCAATGCATGAAAAGCAAACTGAGCAGAGAGTCGGAATGCCTGCAACTTCTGTTTTGGCCAACTCATTGATTGAAGTATTTCCCATTTTGTCTTAATAAAAAAAAGGTGTGATGTACACATGCTGTACAGATAGATATTTATTTCATTTTACATTTAGTCATGCATCCTTTGTAGAAACATTGAAAAACAAGTCCATCAAAATGTAATAACATTTCTGAATATTGATGTTATGACACATACACTAAAGATTGTTCTATTTCTAAAGGCATTGCAAGCTACTGTTCAATCTTACCATTGTTCCAAGCCCTCTCTTTGTACCCCCTTTCACTACCCAAAGTGTAAAACCTAGAGATTTTTATTAAGTTTGGCATTGCCAAATCAACATAAAGCAAAATCAACCCATGTGTGCAATTGGAAGGAAATTAATTCATATAAGAATAATATCAAAAATGAGTTTTTAATATGGCATTCTATGAGATATTTATTGTATAGTATTCTCAGAAACATATTTTAACCTTCATAGCTGCATAGTTGAGAGCAATGCAATTAAAATAGTACATTACAAACTCCTCTGGTGCTGGTTTTGATCATATAATTTGTTTGTAATAAGTGACTAGAATGCCATGAGCTGAAATCAAATGACATTTATATTACACCTAATGTGAGATCCGTAGCCAATCCTATCATGGTGGCTATATATCAGGAGAAACACAAATGTACAGTAAAAATACATTCATACTGCTCCAATGTACAAAATGGCGATGCTGCCTTTAGTGCAAAACTGATATTATTGTTTCCTCTACTCTCAAATAACCAGCCCCTGTCAGTAGTAGGAAGCTATGAGAACATATAGATAATCTGATAGAAAGATCTTGGTTGTTTTGTGATCATTTCCTTGAAGAAGGAAATCACAGTACAGAATGATGGATGGGTATTCTGTGTTCTAAATTTATCTTTCCTGTTCTCTCATCCTCTCTCTTACATGCACATTTTAAGAAGCAGCCCCTGTGTAATCTCTAGACGCTGTAGATAAAACTATATTTCTTTATTATGATTTTATGTTTCATATATGCAGCTTTGTGGTCTGAGATGCAGTCTCCTGCCTCCTAACTGGGTTTAATCTGTGACTGAAATAAACCTCGAGTTTTAGACTAGAGATTTGATAACTGTAAAATATAAATGCAGGTAGTCACTAAACCATTTTTAAGCCTAGCTTGGGCTTATTATTTAGATTCGCTTTAATGAAAGCCAGTTTAAGTGATTATGGTACTAGGAGTGCCCTGTTGTCGTCCCACTGTAAGATGTCAAGCCATTTTAATATGATTTGACAAGCTACTTGGCTCCCCTAGGGAGCACACACTGCATCTCTCCGCTAAGGTTTGACAATTTACCTAGGTTTCGTCAAGCGCTCAGTTGCTCTCCTCTAGCAGGAGACCTTTGAATAACAGGGCTGAATTAATTTGCAGAGAGTGTGAGCTGACATTCTCGGACAATAAATGTTCTTAAGTGACTTCCTCCATCTCTTCTAGAAAAAAAAAAAAACAGGTGGAGCATGGGTTCTTGGCAAACCCAGGTTAGCTGTCAAACCTTACTAAAACAGTTTGATATCATATGTGAGACAATGCCAGGGAACTCCTGACACCAAAACCACTACAGAAGGATGCAGTGATTATGGTGCTTGCAGTGTCCCTTTAAGCTTCTCTATATCAGAGACCCACCTAAATCAAAAGTAAATAACATTGGCAACTATTTCAAGTTGTACAACTGATGGCAGACTGCCCACTGATTCAGGTACAACAATTCTCTACTGTGTTAAGCTTCTGGAAGTCATTGAGGACCAGAAAGCTGCTCATCACAAAGTGAAATCACTGAGTATTTTATGCTCAAGTAGAACCAAGAGGACTCCCAAGTTACACGAGTTGCCGTTGATTATACCTGAATCTTAAGACTACATAGAATCTGAAACATAAAGGTTAATTTTCACTTTTCAATATTCTATTTTAAAGAAAAAAAACAAGTATGTTTTATTTTTTATTTTTGTGGGGCCTGAAAAATACAGAAATCAACACATCTATCCTGGATGTAGATGCCTCCATCTTGGCTATCTGTCAGTAATCGGTATAAATATTGTCCTTTCATGACATTGAACATACTTAGCTGAAGAAGAGAAACTGAAACAAAGTTTCTGTTCTACTCATATGCATTGTGTGTTTTCTGGTTGTACTTGGGCTAAACGGGATTCTGATGTCACTTGCTAAATCTTTTACATACATTTAGAGAGATACACAAAAACATGTTAACACAATTTATAGGAGATTTTTCTATGTTTTTTTTTTTTAACTTGGGTAATTTCCAAAGAAGTGACAGTTCCTCTTAAAGGAATCAATTCAAAAATATGTAACTTATGCAAAATAAACCGATTCATGCAAAAACACACCAGATATATGTAGGGTAACACAGAGATATCAACTGCTGATCTTATTTTATTAAGCCCTTGTTGAATTATTAGCAACCATTCATCCCAAATTCGTAAAGGAACACCCTGGGCACCATAAGAACTTTAATATGCTTCTGGTGCGTCTATACCTTTAGAGGTTAAATCGTTCAGGAACTCAAGATTTGACTCCCCAGAGCGTTCCTCGCTGTATCTGTCCACATTCGCTTTCAGAAAATCAGCTAGAGGAATCACAGACTGCCACCAATCAGGGGTGCTGCTGATTGACTTACAGCGGTCAGGGAGCCTCTTCATTTTGATGAAGTTGTTATGCTGCCCTGACTTAAACCTTTAGTCAGGGCACCATAACAATTTTATCAAAATGAACCCATCTTGGAACAGCCAGGCTCGTGTTCAAAAGTCGAAGTATTGTTGTTTAGGTCTCAGCTTAGATAGCCACCTTGTTGCTAGGGAGGTATTTGTGGACCGGGATAGCCTCCACCTGTCTGGGGTGAAGGAGATGGGGCTATGTATGACAGGAATGGCCATCCAGTAACAGGGAATTGGCCACCTTTCCCACCTAGGTCTAGTACAGAGACTGCAGTCCCAGGAGTGTAGAGAAATTACCGATAACTGATAAAATCGTATTTACACCAAGGTCGGATTGCTCTCTGGCAGATAGTGGTAGGTTCGGCAACGAAAGGTCACGGAAAATAAGAAATTCTGTGCTCAGTTTGATATATTACCAGAGGAGCTTCAACATGCATTCTGCTCAGTCAGCGGTCAGGTAGCTATGCACTGCACGTTTGTCTATTTTGTTCTAAATGTATAGTTTATTAAAAATCTGAACTGTTGTATCAGCCCCCAGTATAACTTTTTTGTGCTACCTTTTCCAAACTGCTTGTTAGGTTTGAGAAATGTGCAGAATTCAAGGGTTTTTTTTTGGGGGGGGGGGGGTTTCTTACAAAATTGGATTTGAAAAAGGTACGTGGAGACAGCCCTCTAAAGATACGCACTTGCATTTGTTATTTAAAGATTATTTAGACTGTTCTTCCAAAATTTCAGTTAATCGCTTTTAAATATATAATTGAAATGCTTGTGTTTACGTGTCTCTTTAAAAAAAAAAAATATGTAGGTTAAGCAAAGATTCTGCCTATCAATCGGCATGATATTCCTATGTTAGTATGAAAAAAATCCTAGAAATTAGGAGCCATTAATAAAAGTTAGGAGCCACGCAAAATTTGGAATAGCCACACAAATATACTATTCCCTGTAGTCACACATTTATCTACTTAGTCTACCTTGTATCCCATCACTCATTCTCACACATGTCAAACAGCTACATCAACCCCACCTCCCCCACCCGACTTGCTAATGCACCCAATACTAGCCACACATTCCTACACATCTAGACATCACTCACACAGTCATTCACACATACTTTGCCAGTTACTATCCTGTGCACACATTTATATATTTACAATAATAGTATTCACTAAAGTGGGAACTCTTAAAGGTCAAAATAGCAGAACCGTAAAAATCCTCTAAGTCAGCTATGCTTCCAGCTCAGCTACTCTAGCCTTAAATTTGAAATTCAATTTGAATTCTCACTTAAGTAGTTAACGCCCACTCCCACACAAGCATAGAATAATTGCACCAGCAAGTGTACGCAAGATGGACAGGTTTGGGACTCCGTGAGTTCCCTTATAGAGATCAGTTGCCATAGCTCATGAACTTGTTTGCACAGCGACTATAGGTAAATAAAGCTAGGGTTGCACTGACCGCTCAGATAGGGGATAACTGGATGTTGAGTGTTCTAAGTTTAATGTTAGGGTTACAATCGGTGCAAGGTTTAGATAGTTATGTAACACTGTATGATTCATGACAGTTTGATGTAGAGTACAGTTAGATTTATGTTGTTTGCCATGGTTATGGGTTAGTATCACTTTTAAAGTTAGTGTTGTAGTCAGATTTATGGTGAAGCTTTTTTCACTCAGTAACCCTAATTGTAAATCTAACCTTATTCGTAAACATCCAAATTCCTGGTGCTGTAACATACTACCTAACTCTAAATATCAGTGTCACCCTAAATTTACTTATCTTGTAGAACTTCCCTGAAAAGTCCTCTTCAGCCACTGTTCATGTGTGTTCCTGAGATATTCTAAATCTAAATTAAATTTTTGTGGTGCCTTGTGGTGCCTTATGGTGCCAGAAGGCCCCCAGGCATACTCTTACCTCAAGGTTTTACCCCAAGGTTGCCTCCAGTGCGATTTCAACTACCCCCAGGCGGCATCGGGCTTCTGAAATTTCAATGTCAGGAAGAACAGATTGCTGCCAAGCAAGGGACTACACTCTCAGCCAATCAATGACGTACCTCGTCCAAGCCAGTTTTATGAATGGGGTGCCACTGACTGACAGAGACTTTCAGAGAACTGCTCTCAGCCAACCAGCTGTACTCCACGCCTCCTGAAAGTAAAATTTCTGAATCCAGATGCTGCCTGGGAGGAGTTGAGATCGGCGCTAGAGGCATCTTTGGGGTTAAACTGTTCGAGAACGATTTAACCTTGAGGTAAGAGTTCGCCAGGGGGCCATCTGGTACCATTCCAACTTCATTTGGATGAAGTTGTTACAGTGCTTGGAGTGTTCCTTTAACTATGGCAGCAGTCAGCATATTTTGATGTCTTCTGGCTGACAGCTATATAAATGTTGGATGCCAGGTAGCTGTTTTTTTTTTCTTTTGACTTGGTGCCGTGGATTTATTGAGCCTCAGCATAGACAATATCCCAAAATCTACATTGTAGTCGTAAACAATATTTGATTTTCTTATTGTTTCAATGGGTATAAATCTTGAAGGCCAAAACAGGGTTTGCCTTGTAATTCAAATGACATTGTGCATGTTCCAAAGTTCTGCTCCTGAGAGTCAGCTTTCATTACTGATGTTTGTACTAAGAAGATGCCACAGTAAATACATTCCATTGTGCATTTTAAATGTACACAATCTTCCCATGAGTCCACTTTACTGGCTGATCTAATAACACATTGATTTGAACCTACTGTCTTACTTCACATCTAACTTTGCAACCAAATCTCGTGGAAGTAAATAGAAAATTAACCACTAGGATTAGTAGTTTTTATTATGACAATTTTGTAAAAAGATCAGTGGTAAACTTGTTGTTTTAGCCACCAATGGACTGTTTTGTCAATTGCGTAATACCATATGCTTGATAGCTAATCTGTCTTGCACTAGCATTGCATAGAGAAGGCAAATGTGTGAATTACAAACATTTTATGCAATATGTCATTTCTTCCCCAGACAAATCAATCTGAAGACACTACAACAGTTGGTGCTTAAAGTCAACATTTCATGTTAATCAGTAAGTATTCTTTTATTATGTCTCTACTAGAGTTCAGTAGAATGCACGTGATATCTGATAAGCTACTTGAAGCCACACGAAATGCTAAATAATGTTTGATTATTGTTTTTGGTCTGTTCACCAAATTTGCTGTCAATTCCCTCTGAATGTAAATGTCCTTAGGCCTTGGGGCTTGAATTGAAGTTAAATTACCTGTATTCAAAATTATCCAGTTAAAGAAATTATCCAGCTGATCTCTTTTTGTCCTTAATTTTGCAAGTTGATTTTCAATAAAGCACAATGCACTGTTTAGTGATTAAACCCTTTGTTATCTTGGCTGCGTTTTACTTACTGCAAATGAACTCCACACACTGTTACTTGGCAAAATTAATCAATCATGATGGGGATCTCTTAGGAACTCGTGCAATTGATTCCAGTTATCCCTGGTGGATGTAAATGATACATAATGAACCCAGGGCTACCTTGGGAGTTGTTTTACTTGCCACTGATGAACTCAACTGGATGGTGGCTATTTTATTATTATTATTGCCATTTATATAGTGTCAACAGATGCCATTCATTCAGAAACTAAATGAATCGATGATGACTGGGGTTTTGTTACAACTACTAGTATTCCAAACATTTGTGTATCCTATCAATGTTGCATATTGCTGAGTGCAACTGTAATAGCCCTGGTGGCATTTCTAACTGTTGCTGGTAGTCAGATGTCACAGAGCCCATGAGTTTCAGCTTAAGATTTCCAGATCTCTTACTGAATACAGCAGAAATTTTGACTTTGCAAAACTGTCACATTTTGTGCCTTTTTGTTAAGCTTTCTGTGATAACAGGCGATCAACATAAGAGATAGAGAGTTACAGTACACAGCATTGACAGCTAGGATGATTGAAAGCATTTAACTCTTAGATTTCCAGATAGGTGAGCTGCCTCCTCAGCTCTCTAATGGTTAAGATTCCTTTTTAGATTCTTGACATGCGATCTGTTTGTTTTTGCATTGACTTTTTTTTTTTTTTTTTAAGCACTTTGTATGTCTACTACCCAGACCCCTTTTCACCAGTCCCTCTTCAGCCTGTTTTGGAAAACCAGAAAGTTAAAAAGAAAGGGAGAGAAAGGAATTATTTGCATTGTAGCTTTGATTGGCACTGCCTCTGAAGAGAGGTTATTTCATGTGGCTGTTTCCTTTCAGGCAATCATTCTTTTATGCTCACACAATTCATCTGGGTACAGTTTTCTATTCACAATCCTTTCTTTCCCATTCCTTTCTTTCTGTCTTTTCTTTCTCCCTCTCTCTCTCGCTGCCTCTTTCCTTTTCATTACGTTCCCTTTGTATTTTTGGTTCACCAACCCCCTCTGCATTTTATTTTCTCCTTTTTATTTTCTTCCTCCATTCACTTCCTTTTCAATTTCACATATGAGTGTGTGTGTGTTCCGTGTCTTTTCCTTTTGCATTGAGTATCTCTTCTCTGTTTCTTGGGGGAGGGGAAGAAAATCAACAAACAGGCGAATTCAAATACAGTTCTACTATTTCCATTGGCTTTGTGCACCTCTGAGCAAAACCATTGCTTTAAAATAAGAAAATGATTCCACATGAAACATGATCTCTTGTTTAGAGATGTTGATGACTTCTAGTTGCGGTGTGTGTGTGTGTGTGTGTGTGTGTGTAAGGCTGGCTTTCAAGTCATCCTGGGACATTGTAAGTGTATTTATCCTGAGATCCTCCAAAATGTTAAAGGAATACTATAGTGCTGAAGTGGCAGTTTAGCAGACCGGCTCACTCTTTGTGGAGATTAAAAGAGATTTTGCTCACATTATCTCTTACGCCGTGCCGGTCTTGCTGCGGCTGGCTCCGCCAATCCATGGCTTTCCCATAGTAAAGCATTGGGAGGCTATTGCGCATGCAGGGCAAGACGCCTTGCTGCACCAATTAGTTCTCCTCATATATATACATTGAATCAATATATCTACGTGGGGAACGTTCAACATCTCCATCCAGAGCGTGGCAGTGCTGAATGCCAGTGCAGCACTGGACTAGAAAGTACCTCTATGGTCTGTCTCAATGACCGCCACTAGAGGTATTATGAGCCAGAAATGTAATACACTGCAGGAATACACCAGAACCATTACATTAAGCTGTAAAGGTTCTCGTGACTATAGTGTCCCTTTAAGCCCTAAATAGCACATCATTATCTGTGTAGTTACTCATCAGTTATGATCACCAATTAGTTCCAATATTCATCTGTCTGGAAACTTTTTTGACTCGAAGATATCTTTAATTTTGAAGGGATCTAAACTGCAACAGAACATACATATTTTGTTGTACAATCCTGTCATTGTAGAATGTATGGCACTCAAGGCTGCTAGAGCCAAACAGGCTCTGGCCTATCAGGAGTCCCAGTAAAACTTCAGATATCTGCTTATCCGAAAAGGTGGTGAAGTACAATCCTCAATTTATGCATTGCAGCACATAGAGGAACTGATCTCAGATCACTTCCTCCCAGCACTTGTGAATTGGAATCCACACTGTAGTAGAGCAGTTAGCAGTTGCTGTTGCAGCTCCTGTCCTTGACATATACCTGGCCTGCCTGGTCCCCACTGGAACCCACCCACACTGCTAGATATACACAGAAATGCAGAATAACCCTTCCCTCATACAAATAATACGGACAGCCCACACACAAACATACACACAATCCGCACAAATGAAACACCACTAACAATCCACATACATGCACACAACATGTACCTGGCCTGCCTGGTCCCCACTAGAACCCACCAACACTGCTAGATATACACAGAAATGTAGAATAACCCTTCCCTCATACAAATAATACGGACAGCCCACACACAAATATGCACACAATCCGCACAAATGAAACACCACTAACAATCCACATACATGCACACAACCCCATATGCAATACCCCAAACAGCCCCCACACACTACCAAACACACACTGTGACATATCCATCCACACACACACACACACACAATTCCACAAGCAGCCCCCTTACACAGCCCACATTCATATGTATCATACACAATACCATAAACTACTCATGAACATATACAATATAATAGCTCATATACGCAGGGCCGTCTTTAACGCAGGGCAAACTGGCCAGCTGCACCGTGAGCCCTGCTGGCCTCAACTATTTCTAACCCTCTGGCCGGTAATCCGCATACTAAGGAGGCCCAGCAGGAGTGGCCCATGCACAAAGGACCACCCGGTGGGCTTCTGTCAGCAGGGGCCCGGTCGCACGCTGAGGCGCTTTAACAGCGCGAGCGGGCCCCTTGCTTTTCGGCAGCAGGCTGGGAGGAAGTGACGGCCGCGCATCACTTTCTCCCACAAAGAGAGGATCGCGCGGGAAAGAAGAGTAGGCAGATTGGAGGGGGGCTGGCCGAAAGCGCTAGACCCCAACTCCCAACACCTTCAGCCACCAGCAGGAAAGGTAGGAAACTGGAGGGTGGGTTTTAAAGTGTATGTCTGTGTCAGTATGTCTGTCAGTGTGTGTGTGTGTGTGTTAGTATGTCTATGTGTGTGTGTGTGTGTGTGTGTGTGTCAGTATGTCTTTGTGTGTCAGTATATCTGTGTGTGTGTGTCAGCATGTCTGTATGTCAGCATGTCTGTGTGTGTGTCAGTATATCTCTGTGTGTGTGCGCATTTCAGTGTGTATATATCTGTGTGTGTATGTATGTGCATACATCTCAGCATTCACACACTAACACTACACACAAATACACCCCTGCATTCAATTTTCAACACTACATACAAACACATGTCTGTGTTACACACCAGAATTATATGTAAACACACCCCTGCATTCAAAAACCAACACTACACAAATACATGCTTGCAATCACGCCAACACCACATACAAACATATTCCATACAAAAACCTGTTTACATTCAAACACACAAAAACTGCTTAGTGCTAAATACAGACCTGCAAACATGGGTAAATGGTAGAGCCCCAGCTGTCAATGCATTTCTGGAGTTGCACGACAGATGGGGATCTACCTTTTAATCACCCATGCAACAGGGAGACCCCCCAAAATTCTTGCACCTCTCTACTTTAGGTCCGCCACTGCGTTAAGGTGGAGGATGTGATTGCATGCCTGGGGAGGGGGGCAGGGTACAGGGGGCCCCAAGCAAATGCTTTGCCCAGGGTCCAGTCACTATTAAAGACGGGCCCTCCATATACGCACAAATACAACGATACAAAGCAATTACAGTAAAAATAACAAGCAGAATAAGGCAGCATACACCCCTCGATTGAAAATAAAATAGGACCGGCACGCTACGGGACATCACAATCCTATATCGGCACAGTGCTGCTAAAAGGTTGCCTACATTTGCCTTAGGGCATTTTTCCTCTTTGGAATATTGGTTGGTAAAACCTAAAAAATAGTGGTTGGAAACTTCAACAGGAATTCACCTCTTAAAGAGATAAACCTGATGTCAGCATTCTTGTATATTGTCTTTTGTATTTGCAAAAGTAATGAGAGCCTATATGTACCCTTACACAATACATATGAGTTGTATTAAAGCACACACTGCCCATCCACAAGGCATTGCAAGGGCACAGGTTTAGTAGCTGTTCCTTTTTATCAGGATTATTTTGCCCAAGAGGAAGTCTTGTCCACAAGAGTGCAATGCTAGAATAGAGTTTTTCAAACAGCTATTTTCTGATTCCAATCATTGGGAACATTATTCTTTTCAAATTATTTTTATTTAACAATGTAAAAATCTATTTTAAACAAAAATATAACAAATAAAATAGAGAGGGGGTTAACAATTGGAAGGGGAAAGAGGAATTTATCCATAAGTACGCACATTTAAATACTACTCCTAGACTTTTTGAGAGGTTCATACGAACTCTAGACACTGTGTAAAAAACGAAGGGGAGAGTATAGAACAGGCATGATAGGCAACCTTTGGCACTCCAGATGTTTTGGACTACATTATGGGTGTATCATTATAGGGATGGAGACCACAACGTCTGAAGTGCTAAAGGTTGCCTCCCCGTGGTATAGAATATTTGATACATCTCCACATCTGAGGAAAGGGATTTAGGGGTAGGTTTTTCAGATGACATAAAGGTAGGCAGGCAATGTAGTAGAGCAGCAGGACATGCTAACATAATGATTGGTTGTATAGGGAGAGGTATTAGCAGTAGAAAGAGGGAAGTGCTCATGCCATTGTACAGAACACTGGTGAGACCTCACTTGGAGTATTGTACACAGTACTGGAGACCGTATCTTCAGAAGGATATTGATACTTTAGAGAGAGTTTAGAGAAGGGCTACTAAACTGGTTCATGGATTGCAGGATAAAACTTACAAGGAAAGGTTAAAGGATCTTAACATGTATAGCTTGGAGGAAAGACGAGACACGGGGGATATGATAGAAACATTTAAATACATAAAGGGAATCAACACAATAAAGGAGGAGACTATATTAAAAAGAATAAAAACTACCACAACAAGAGGACATAGTCTTAAATTAGAGGAAGTATCAGGAAGTATTACTTTACCGAGAGGGTAGTGAATGCATGGAATAGCCTTCCAGCTGAAGTGGTAGAGGTTAACACAGTAAAGGAGTTTAAGCATGCGTGGGATAGGCATAAGGCTATCCTAACTATAAGATAAGGCCAGGGACTAATGAAAGTATTTAGAAAATTGGTTAGACTAGATGGGCCGAATGGTTCTTATCTGCCGTCACAGTCTATGTTTCTATGTAAAGAACATCAGAGTGATTTTTACACTAGGCTTTTCATCTAGGAGGAAGACAATTAGTTTCTGCAGACCTTCATATGTTTTAACATGTGCTTCTTTAAATGCATGTGTTGAGTCTGAAAATACAGTCCAGGCATGTATAGAAAAATTACTCCTTAGCAATGTTATGTGTGTGAATGATATATAATCTAGCCTAATAGGTTGTAATAATGGGGAGAATTATAAAGCACCTCGCCCTCAATTTGTGTGTAACCTGTCAATAGGCCTCTGACCTGATTTCCTGCTATAAAGCACATTAAAAGGAAAGACAGGATAAACAGGATTTACACGCTATACACATGAACTCCTATACCTAAAATAGGAGAACATAAATGTATATTTTATTAATATTACACCAACTTTAAAGTTGTAGGAAGTGTACAATATTCTTTCAACTGGTAATGCGAACCAAGGCCAGTTATCTTGGGTTTGGTTCCCATCTGGCACACATACAGTGGATTTGTGAGCTATACAGACAGTAATCTAGCATTACAGTGTGAAAGGTTCATGTTTAATTGAATGAAGAGCTATGATTCATCATAACATAAAATATGTACTGTACCATTGTCTGAGAGGTTGAAAAAACAGTCATCTCCATTAGTAAGTGGCGCATAAAAAAATGCTTTTACCTAATTTGCCCCCCTCATCCCTCCCCTGGCATATTGATGGGACAAACAGAGACCTCAGGCATTATTTAATAATAATTAAAATAACTCTCCAAGCACCATAATCACTACAGCCAGGCTTACAACCTACTTGGGTCCCACTCAGTGTACACATCACCTGATTCCGATCTTCCTGCTGAAGAATCCAGCTGTACAGGGTAAAACAATGCAGGACCACACTGCTTGGCTGAGAGCATCAGGTGAGTGCTCAAAGCCTTTTGAACACAGTTCTGTATTGGCCATGTTTTCCTCTATGGAATCATATGACATCTCTGTCAGGAGAAAGGCTAGGTTCCCCGCAGGCATATGGGGTCCCAAATAAGTTGGCAAACCGTACTAAACTGGTTTGACTACTTACTGACTCTTGTGACTCAATAGCCGCTACAGTGGGCTATAGTGGTAATTGGAGTTCTCCTTTAATCTATCACCATCCTGTTCTAACTAAAATATGTAAAGGGTCATTCTAAGCACTAGAACAAACTGTGCTCAATGCATGGGTTGTGGTGCAGAAAATACCTAATCCCAGTCTCCCTGCACACCTTGGCTAATAACTACAGTCATTTTTGAAAATACCTGTACCTAACAGACTCCCTGCGGTATCAGTGATGTCAGAGGAGAAACTTTTCTTGCCTATGCACAGTGCACATGCTGGTGGATGCACTCCAAAAAAAGCTGGGGTTGAACATATACATGGTCTCTATCCCACAGCACACAGTTCTGATCAAACAATTATTTATATAGCAGTGGCAACATATTCTGCAGCGCTGTAAATAGGAAGCAAGACACATATCTAATTCTAACAAAACATGTATGACATTATAGACTAGAAGGGAAGTGGACCCTTCTCAAACAAGCTTACAATCTAAATCTAAAGTTGTGAATAAACTTTGGTAGGATTGAGCAATTCTACTTATCCTGTGTTATAAGTGGAACCTCAAGCAGTTGACTGATTTAATAAGAAACGTCTCCAAACTACTGCATCAGAAGCTTTGGATTGGTGGAATGTCTTTCTGTCTGGGAGAGGTCTGCAAGCTGCTTCTATTAGCAGTGTATTAGCAAAAGCAGCAGGAACTGTCAACTCAAGTGATGTTAAAAGGACACTATATGCATCAAAACAATTTAAGCTTAAAGGGCACTACAGTTAGCAAAACACTAAACTGGCTTGGAAAGAGACGTACCTTTCCCAAGCCAGTTTTGTGAACGGGCAGTCACTGATTTGCTGACCTTTTACAGCCAATTAGCGGCGCCCCTGCCCGGCGGCACTTTACGCTTCCTGTAACTGAAAATTCTGAACCCGGACGCCACCGCGGTGAGCTGAGATTGTTTGAGAGCGGTTTAACACCATGAGGTAAGAGCGTCTCAGGGGCCTCATGATACCATGACAACTTAATTTAGATGAAGCTGTTTTGGTGCATTGAGTGCCCCTTTAATGAAGCACTTTTAGTGAATAGATCATGCTCCTGAAGTGTCACTACTCAGTTCTTTGCCTTTTTGGAGTTAAATTGCTTTAGTTACTGGTTATGCAGTCTAAACCTCCCATGGCTGTAAATGACACAGCCTCCATGAAAAAAATGATTTAATTTTTCAATCAGATGTTAACTTGCTCTATAGGTTTTTCCCCTGCTCTGTAAAGCTAACTTTAATCACACACAGGAGGCTCCTGCTCAACAGAGCAGGAGATACGAAATTTCAAAATTAAATAGAATGTACAATAAAGGAAATTTAAAAATAAGATATCTCTTTTTGGAAGGCTGTGTAATTCACATGAGAGGTGTGACTACGACAGCATAAACAATGTGATTGAACTCCTAAATGGCAGACAATTGAGCAGTGAGACTGCAGGGGCATGATCTATACATCAAAACCACTCAATCTAAAGTTATTTTGGTCGTTTTACCTGACTTTCCATTCGGGAAAGCAGATTTTTACCAGTTTTTACATGCATTTCTGACAAATTAGCATATTGCAGAACACTCTTGAGTTGGTTAATTGGACAGCAAGTACTGAGAGCTGGATTTCTACTATTATCTAGGTAATCAAGCTAATCTGTGCAAGGTGTAAACAACACATTGGGGCGTTCATTTTGACCATAATTGTTTGTAGTGATCATATACATGCATTTGTAATGTAAAAAGTTGTTCTAGAGCTAAGCCATGTGTGTTTTGTTTCTCTTGTGCCATACAGATGTTACTATCTTTTGATATGGGTTATAGAAAGGTGACCTATTGTCTATTCTTCAGTGCCTGGCCCTCACTAGGTGAGAGGCTTTGCTGGTACTGTTCATAGGTTTTTATTTATGTTTTTCTTTATTCTGTCTATTGAAGCTCATAAAAGGAAAAAGAAGTGTGCTGGTAGAAAATAGAAGCCGATTTAAGTGAAAGGGTACACAGATAGAGAGGTTAAACCACATGCAGGGATGTGGAGATAGATGAAAGGGGAAAGAACAGAATGATAAGAGGTAGAAAGAGGCGCAGTGGATCTACAGAACTGAGGTAGCTGTTGCTAGGGTAACAGAAAGAATGAAAAAGAAGGTCTAAGGGAGGTATGGAATGAAGTGATGGGAAGAGAATGCTGGAGGGAGAGGTCAGAATACAATGTATACAGAGTGCAGGTAAGTAAATTCTGAATGCTTTAGTAGAAGGAGAAAAAAAGTAATGTGGAACCAGAGTGGACTTTATTGTTTATTTTTATTTAATTTTCTAATAGAAGAAAAATGATGTGCCTGTCTTCACATTTCCTCATATCTACAGGTTTATACAGGACTTTGTATAAAACAGGCTTATGCCCAGCACTAACCTGACATCAAAGGCGCTTCTTTATTCAGTTCCCACAGAGAACAGATAACATTCTAGCCATAAAAAAACAGGTCTTTAACGAATCAAGTATGGTAGAGACCTATTTTTGTAGCCAAATGTTAATCAATATTTGTAGGCACCGAATAAAAGAAGTGTTTGTGTTGGACCATTAATTTATTTCTGTAATTTAACTGAATTTTGAACTGAAGTCCATGTACCATTTATTAAGTAAGTGTTCCCCTCTACCTTATTTTACTGACTATTCCTACTCCTAAACTTCTGTCTGGGATCTGCACTTGCTACTAAAAGTGACAAGAAGCAACATAACCACTATAGCGGTTGTCTAGTCTCTGGGAGCCATCCATCAGTTTAGTTATGATATGACATAAATGAGTCTTTTCCTGGCTAATGGAAACTGTCCCAAGCACCCTTAGCCAATCAATGCTGCCTAGCCTGGACTAAATTGAGTTTGATGTTATGGAATAGTTGAGAGCCCTTGTTTGTCACACCATTCCTTAACGTTTGACATTAAACTAAGTCATGACATGCTGACCCTGTAGGTAACAGAGAGAACTGCACTGGCTAGATTGCCTCTTTAAGTAAAAAGAGAGCTTATTCAATTTAGTTTCTCCAATGGGAAATTAAAGACACTTTTAGACACTACTTTACAAAAGGAAAATAGTTACGATCAAAATCTAACGCCACCCTCTGCATGCAGACACTGAACTTTCCTCAAAGAGATTCATTGATTCAATGTATCTCTATGAGGAGATGCTGATTGGCTTGGCCAGGGCTGTGTTTGACTTGTGCTGGATCTGCCCCTGATCTGCCTCCTTGACAAGCTCAGCCAATCCTATGGGAAAGCATTCTAATTGGCTCAGATCATCACTTCTGATGATGTCAGCCAAGCAGGCAGATCAGGGGCAGAGCCAGAAGCAGCAGACTTGACTAAATTTACAGGGGCAATGGGGGCCAGGAGGGCAAGATGGCGATTTTAACACTGTTTTTGTGTTCCGGACCCTATAGTGTTCCTTTAAGGTTTACTCCAAACACCATGAACACATCAGTGATTTGAAGTGGAGTCTGTATTTGTGGAGTTTTGTCCCAAAATGTGAAATTCTGGACAGATTTTAACCCCTCTGCTGATGGATAATATGCATGAATTTGTAACTCCACCTCTGGGAGCGTCACTGAGGCGTCAGTCACCCCAGAACAAGAGTTCCGGGCTGCCTAATGGAAGTTCTTTGCAAATTGGACGTCTGTCGACAGCAAGCACAGCATGCTGGCGACAGGCATCTAATGGTGGAATGGCTCTCCCCTCTGCCGGATTAAAGGTAAGTCTTTTTATTTATTTATTTACTTGGTGAGGAAGGGTCATAATAGTTAGGGGTACCCTAACCAATAACTGTTTAATTAAAGCATTGTTTTTTTGGTTGGAGTAATCCTTTCACCGCTACAGTAATAGTTTTAATTGTGCTTATAACTAGTCATGTAGTACTGCAAGTGTTCCCAATTACAGTAAGGAAGCAGATTCCAGGGTACACCTACTTTTTTTTACCTTCTCCAATATCTGATTAGTGATACATACTAACAGGCATTTTCTTCATAGATTTAATGAATTGTTATATGCGAATCCAGACACCTATTAAAAATACATTTTAAGCACTGCATTCAGGATATTACATCCCTGAAGTTGGTGTATTTATGGCTTGAGGGACCCCAGTATGCTACTGCACACTGTTGAAAGCCATTGCCTCACTGTATCCTGGATTGCCAACAGCTGGCATTCATATTAAATGCTTAAAAAACAAGGATATTTTTTGACATTGAAAGATAGTACTTTGGATAGAAGAGTCTGTTACAATTAATATAAATTTACAAGAAGGTTAAGAAACTCTGCATTTAAGAACATTTTTGTGTGCCTTCCTCATTTATATATGAGGTAGCTGATATCTTCAAAGCGTTGTTGGTTAGGTGCCAAGGAGGTATGCCAAGGGTAAAACGTATATAGACCTACAGTGCATGTGCTGCCCTTTGTAGGAACTGTCATTTATCATATGACAGTCTCATGTGGAAATGATGAAATTGGTTCCAAACTAGAAGACAGAAAGGTCTCTCTTATATTGATGAGTTCTTTATCCGGAGAATCACTGTCCTACTTTTGTGCTTGACTCTAGTGCATTTATACTGTGCCCTATTAAGCATCTAAGTTGTGTATACCATGGTCAGTGTTCCCATGGAATTTCCAAAAATCAACACTCCCAGTGAATTACTGCATCGGAACAGTCTCCTTGGATTTTTATTTTTTTTTCATTTGTTTATCTCACTGAATACGTTTCTCCTACAGTATGTTCCTATTTTTGTTTTTCTATACCAGTAAAAGAACAAAGGCAGTTCATTTCTGGAACAGGAAAACACTGTTTTCCTTGTCTTCACGGGAAAAAGTACTTCTATTTCTTTTTTTGTCTTTCTTGGCATTTTAGCTTAATCAGATAAAAGATGATATCACCAACTTTAAAAAAATAAACTTAAATATCCTTTCCTTAATATGTAAAATGATTATTTATTTTTTAATCTAATTTTTGCAGGTACTGTGCTATTATCCCATTTCATCATTGGCAGAATATCGCTGTGCAATGCCTTCTAAGCCAAAGCCGGTATAAGAAGCTTGTCCATTCAACTCTCTAGTACCCTAGGTGTCAGCAGGTAGGTCAGGCGAGGCTTTTCTTAATCCTGAAATGTCTGTTTAGGTTTGCAAGCCATTGCTGTACTCCCTCCCCTTGTTACTTGTGTCCGTTTCAAGCTTAACCCCAAAACCCTCCTTGTATTATTTATTTTATTTATTTTGCAGAATTGAAACTAGCATGGGGAACTGTAAACTTTCTCTCTGGGGATATGCTGGTTCCCAAAAATAACACAGTATTTAGGTGCTGGTTTTCTTGCCTGTAAATGACAGTTTGCAATAGCAGGGTTAAATGCATTTTTATTCTCAAATGGTTGCGCTAAAGGTTTGATATATGTATTTTTAGCACATCCATCCCAGCATTACTTTTCTTGTTTTCCAACACTGCAAAGTCACAAGACACAAAAACAAAATGCTTTTAGTGTCAGATGAAAATATTTTTAGAAATGCCCGTTCTGTATATAGTGCCTTTACTATGTAAACCCATTATCTATTGACGTCTGTACACACAGCCCTGAAATATATGTATTTCTCATATGTGCTTTCAACACATATGTGTTCAGTCTGCAAGTTTGCGATTCCTTTTGTGCTTAGCCAAATGGTAGTTGCAGTCCACAGCAACTAGATTGCTTGCTTGCAATATTCATTCTTGTACTTTAGACCCAATGTTCAGAGAGATGACTACACTGATATCTTACGTATTATAAGAAGGTTAATATTGCCTTCACAGTTGTTACCAGCCCCTCTGGCACAGCACATATTAAATTGTTGGGAGGGAGGTGGGGCGGGAGGCATTTTTTATAAATGAAAGAATATGGCCAGGCTTGCAATCATTTTCATATTCACAGACGAACTCTCACAATACACGTTACACAATGGAAAAGAAAAATGGGAAATTGGAAAACTGAAAAAGAAGGAAGTTAAACAATAGCTTATTTTGTTGGCTTTATATCTGGTTATGTTTAAACACACTCCCTCCCCATCACCCAACCTTTCAGACATTTTACATACAATTTAAAGGGACACTATAGTCACCAGAACAACTACAGCTTAAGGACTTAAAAACAGCTTAATGTAATTGTTCTGGTGAGTATAACAGCTCCCTTCAGGCATTTTCATGCAAACACTGTCTTCTCAGAGAAAAGGCAGTGTTTACATTGCCCCTACGAACATCTCCAAGTTCCTGGCTTAGGGCTGCACAGTAGCCCTGTGGTTCTGATTGGCCAAAACACCATTTGGCCCCGCCCCCGTGCCATTGTTTTTTTCCCTATGGTAAAGCATTGGATTGGCTAAAAATCGACCATTTCGATTATGTCACAAAGGGGGCAGAGCCAGCCCCAGCCGCACTGGAAATAAGGTGAGTTTTAAACTTTTATAGGGAGGAATGGGGGGTTTAAATGGTGGGTTTAACACTATAGGGTCAGGAATACATGTTTGTGTTCCTGACCCTATAGTGCTCCTTTAAGGACTTAAAAACAAGACTACGGATTTGACCAAAAGGAACAATGTCAAGATCTCTATAGTGACTAGTAAGAAGGTGCAAAGATCATGCTTTTAAGACTGGGCCGTAAAACAATTTGCTATATTCCTTTCCTGTTTATAGTCTATTGGATTAAATACCTTACTAGTTGTAGATGAAGTGCACCTCGCAGTCATCTCCAAGAGAGAAAAGTTAATAATTCACAATAATGGAACATATTGAAAGTGACATTTGTAGAGATCCGTTAACTATTAACGGTTAAAAGCACACTTTATTGTGATATTTATAAAAAACTAGTTTGGGTTATATACAAATGCAGAAATACCTTTCACCCCTTTCCTGCCTGCTTCATAACCACTTCTACATATAGCACCCACACTCCCTGAGCTCCCCACACCTGCAGTAACCTCTGGACTACCTTCATAACTGCTTCCTTGCTTACACTTTCCTCTGTAATATAACTCGTTTGGAATTCTCTGCCTTAAGAGGTGGTTTTATCAGAGTCTATACAGATTTTTAAACTGCAATTGGATAAATACTTGCAAAAACATAACATACAGGGATATAATTTCTAATTAGTGGGGTAATAGCTGCTTGATCCAAGGAGACATCTGACTGCTATTTTGGGGTCAAGATGAAATTTCTTTCCTAGTTTGTTGCAAAATGGAAGCACTTCAGACTAGATTTTTTGCCTCCTTTTGGATCAACAGCAAAAACATATGTGAGGAAGGCTGAACTTGATGGACGCAAGTCTCTTTTCAGCTATGTTACTATGTAACTCTCAACTCCCTTTCTTCCTGTACGTCCAACTTGTCTTGTTGCAAATAATTGTCTGTCTATCCACCTATTGTACAGCACTGCAGAATTTGTTGGCTCTTTATAAATAATAGTAATAACAGTGATGGTTAAGCCTTGCCTCTCTAGCTTGTGCAGACAATATTTACAAAAAATTCTGACATTTAGTAAGCTGGGAAAGCAATTTATTATGAAGATCATGTTCCGCATAATAAATTTCACTTGCCCTGTCGTTGTAGCCGTGTGTGTATTGCTCTTCCTTTTGGTTAATCGGTGAGTAGTACTTTGTTGGTGGAGCTCCAGCAGAGGGGACACTTCCTCAGTGCAGAGTAAATCTCATGTGTTTGGAACACATAATTAGCTGTGCATCCTGGCAGTAAAGGTAGTGCCCAACAGTTGGGGTGCCAGTTGTTAGCAGTCACTGTCGTTATTTCGCTTCACATTGCAGAAAGGAACTAGGTAGTTCCAGGTTCTGCTGTGTAATTACTTTCCTGAAAAACCTAAAGTCTTGCTCCCAGGGAAAAATTCAATAAAATATGCGCTTCTCTAAATCTAAAATCAATATTACCTGTAAATGTTTATAGTTATTTTACTGGTTTATTTGTGAAAAAGTACATTTATATTGTATTAAATCATTTTTATTTTAAGCACAAAACAAGTCAGGCACAGTTCCACAATGATGAGAAGCTTACAGTTGCATACGCAGAGGCCTATTATTACGTGACAGTATAGCGAATTATTGTCATCAGGCATTAAATCTTATGTAATTACATTTATGACTGTACCAGGCTAAGTCTTATAGCTCTATAAATTCACCAGCATCAAAAGAAAACTGTAAGTAATCTGGTGTCGGCTTGTGCCAGCAAGTAACTTTGTAATAGGTGGGCCTTGCGGCTCGTAGCTGTGTATGTTAGCGGGGCTTAATGATCATATGATTCCAATTGCCAATATATGCGACCATGTAAATGTGTTGCAGGCATTTAATTTAATGCAGCATAAGATATAATATAGTTTGCCTCTAATAGATTTTAGGGATGTGCTGTAGGTAATGGGTATTAAGGCGTGATGTTCTGAAGTTAATGTGCCTGAAGGGTTAACATTCAAGTAAGCCTGCTGCCTTCACGGTGTATAGAGGAGCCTTGTTATTACAACTTTTTTAAAACTCTTGCACGTTGCAACATCAGGGAACTCAGTTGTGCAGTGATTTTAAGTTAATCTGCGGCCAGTGCATAGGACACTGACAAGTGTGGTAAGATATAGCCTGAGTATGTAGGTTTAAGATTTACACTGGGGCATTGATGTGCGTTACTATATGGTTCCAGTCTGCATAGGGCTAATGTGTGCGTCAAACTTTAGCAGGCGTATGCTTAAATTTTTTTATTTTTTTTAAATACTAAGTGCTATAATAATCAGAGCGTCTGAAGCAATAGCTCTGTATATAAGAAATAAAGTGGAGGTAATAACATCCTATAATGCGTCAATCTGAAGTTAACTGTAGCTGATCATGCAATACATGTAATGAAGTATATAGGCAAACTAATGCAGTGTTAAAAGAAATGACCATCCTATAATAATGGAAAAACCATTACGCTGATGTATACCTTAGCTATTGATGCGATACTGGTAGAGGAATGCATAAACAAACAAATTATATTAAGTGTACATGGGTTCCCATATTATCGAGAAATAAACTAGGGTGCCTATATGTGAGCCTGTTCCTTGAGCGTCTTCTCAGAATGTCAGAGTTAACGCAAGATATATGTGACTAGATATATGTGTGTTAAGATATAAGCATAGAAATATACATCGTATAATACAACATTCTGGCTATTCAAGTAGGCAATAATGAATGGCGTCGAGGTTTTGCCCGTGGGGGCACTACAACATAGCATATCCATTCTGAAGCTGATATGTATAAGTCACCAAAGTAAATGTCGACGAAGCAGTTACATAAGAAGCATATTCGTGTGTGAACTTGGTTATATTCAACACTGAGTGTAGACATTCGGCGCGGACAGTAACTGAATGCCCAGTGAGTGAGAGGGAGCATTTAGAAAATAAAAATTATTCCTGAATGGCAGTCCGAGGGAGGCCCTGCATGTCTCCGCTGCAGCACAGTCCCAGGGACGCCGAGCCTCCGTCCGTCACTTCCGCAGTGCCCCCAGTCCATCCTCCCCAGCACCCCGCTGTTCCCTCTGCAGTGTGTACTCCCATGTCTCTCCCGGTGCCAGCCTCATTCTTGGGGCCGGTGCGCGGCCTCCACAGCCACCGGTCCACCGGAAGGTCAGCGCACTCCTTCCCCACAGGGCTCACAGCAGCAGGGACATGGCTCTCCAGGGACCCCCATACCTAGAGGCCGGGGTACTCACTACTCCTGTGGGTGCGGGAGCACCACAGAGGCTCCATCTGGTGCTCCGTCTCGCCCGAGTCCGCACGAGCCGTCCATGCCAGGCCCCGATGCTGTATGCGCTGCTCAGCTTCTTCTTCTGGGCTTCCACAAGCTCGTTTCAATCTCGCCCTGGGTGCTTCCTCTTGAACTGTGCACCCTCTCCACCGTGTTGGCCTCCACAGTCTCTGTGGTCTGTTATTCTGGAAGGCCTCTTCCTGACTTCCCTTGCCAGTGTAGGGGACCAGCGTGGTCCTCGTGCGGAGATGTCCACCTCGGCATGTGCTGTCCCCATGAGGCCGGGTTCACCCCCACCGGCTGGGGAGGGGGCGGAGCAGGCCCCAGAGCCGGTGTGGTCCCCCGAGGGGATAGGTGACTCCATGATGCGTTGTTCATCCGAGCGGATCACCAGTCTCTAAGTCAGGCTTATGCTAACAGGTAGGCCGGATTTATTTGTGTTAGTGTTCCTGGCGTGCTGTCGGCCCTTTGCAGGTGTCTTTTTAATGCTGGGGCGCTTCTCTCTTGCAGCATGTTAGGGTGAGTTATATTAGGTTTTATGGCCTTTGTTTGGTGCTCGGGCTCAGAGCCATGCTTGTCTGCTTCCAGTTTGCCCGGCGGCCCGGCCCCGCCCCCATACATTTATATTGTAAATGCTGAAGACAAAATATATAGAGGCACTTCCCAGTCTATATATGCTCCTACTAAACTATGCGCTTATGTGGCACAGTATAACTTTGTAAACTATTGTGCCTATAGAGCGCAAGAGTCCATTTTAATTTTGTTTTTATGTTATTTGCTCTCTAAAGTGACTTTCTCATGCAGTCCAGGACATACAATGTGATTTATTCTTGTAAAACACTACAAATTATATAAATGAAGTAAGATCCTCATTTGGAGAGTATTTCTAATGTCACGTAGCCATTGGGAGTGCAGAGCTGTGCGTTCTTTATGTTTCTGACACTAAAGGCGAAGCTCATTATATGTCATTGCAACTAGTAATGGCTTATTATAGGTAAATGAAACACAGTGAGTGGCACCTTACATTTTAATGGCCAGTTTTCTTTAAAAGAGGACATAATGGATAAAAACTGGCTGACCACATAACCAATGTTCAGCTGAGTGATATATTAAAACCACAGAAAGTGTTTTAAGGTTTTGTTAATTTTGCTAAATATTCAGTTGTTGACAACAACCTCTTCTCTGCAAGCCAGTTGTGCAGAGCATTCTGCTGTGTGTGTTTAGAAGAATGCACTATAATGTATATATGATTTATTTAGCACGTGAATGAGCATGCTATGCATCATGCAGAGCCAGGAGCTGGCTCACACATGTGTGATAGCGAACAAGCAGAACAGAGGCTATTACTGAAGAGGTCACTTTCAACATCAGTGTCCATCGCAATCTTGCAATGGGTCAAAGTAACAAAGTCCTTACGCATGACCCCTAATAAAAAAAAAAAGTGTGCTGTTAACTAAGCATTCAGCAGTCTAGTGCAGGGTCAGCATTGTCTATAAGATGTTTTTTTTTTCGTTTGTTTGGTTTTTATCGTAGCAATAGGAGTGCATATATAACTATGAGTGCAAATATGAAACAGTGGTAGTCAGCCATCTGCATGTTGTGGACTACTTGTCCCCTGATGCTTTGCCATCATTATGGCTGTCAGATCATTATGGGAGGTGTAATTCACAACATCTGGAGTGCTGAAGGTTGCTTACCCCTGCTATGTAAAATAGTCCTCTCATCTCCACCAATGTTCATCTTAATGGATGTATACATCTTCATTTTATATGAATAGTTATTCAGCTGCATGAATTTGGTGGCATCTAATGGGATTTGATGACTTCAATAAAAGAAGTGAGAAGGGTAGACGTTGGCTTCATCAGAAGCAACGGGAAGGAAAAAGGCAGGGTTTTTACGAGATACAGTAGCCCCGGAGGTACAAGTCTAATATCCCAATAACTAATGTTCCATTTGAAGAAAAAAAAAAAAAAAGCTGACAGTATTCCGATTGTGAAGTTAACTGGCATCATCTTTTAAGTTGATTTTATGGTTATCACAAAATCCATTGTAGCTGCTTTCTATGATTGTAAAGATACATTTTCAAGAGTCTTTATACTTTTCTAACAAAACAAAAAGTAACCAATACAGCTTCCCGTGATATCATCCCTCCAGTGCTTCTCAGTTTTAGAAAACAGAATTGTAAAGCAAACGCAGTGGATACCATGTTGAAGAGCTTTGAAGCAGTTCTCCTGTTGGAAATACCACATTTCAGTAGCGAGCTTGCTTTAAGGATGAGAAAATAGTTATACGCCACATTTACAGATATTTCATTCGTCACTCAACACTCTATAAACATAAAATGGATAGTCTGAGTGGTGTTATTATTCTATCTACAAAATTGCAGTTTCCTTTGCAAGAAAGATGCCACATAGAAATACAGATTTTGACAGCTTGTTAGAACTTAGTATTGCCCCATCTTACATGGTATAAAGGTTTATAACCTATGTGGCCTTCAGCATACACTGCACATGACCTCTAAAATGTCTGAGACATAATGAATACTCTAAATGCAGCAGATCCTACCTCTAATGGGAAACAATTCTATAAATCTTTCAACGTTTTGGTAGCTGAACACTTCCTTACATGTCCGCTTGTGTAGTATATTAAATAATGTCCTCTGTTATGGAATAATTCTACCAGAATTGGCTATCTGAACAAAAACCATTGTTTTAACCTACAACCTTTTTGGCCAATCAGTCATTCAGTCATTGGTTCGATTCTTTGAAACAGCTTCTTTATTTATTGAAACAAAATTACTGAGATATTACCACAGTGTTAAAACCTTCTAGACATTTAACAAAGACTCCCCACTTTCACAAACTCTGCTAAACTGCTTTTGCCCTACTTCCTGGCTTCACTCCTGTATCTTGTACAAACATTCCTTCATTTTTCTTGAAATGTGTAAAGGACTATTTTGCATGTCTTGGTGTGAGTTGTGGATGTATATTGTAGTTGTGTTTTTTTTTATTAGTTTCCTAGTTTTTATTGGAAGTTCTGGTAGCTCTGTGTTCAAGGAGAGAGGTGTGTTTGTGTGTGTGTGTGTTTTCTCTCTCAGAGAGAGAAGCATGGAAAGCCAGTATTATGTGGGGTTATTCTCAAACGCTAAGCATGATCCTTGTGGTCACATTACTTTACCATTTTAATGACATGTATAAAATGTCTGAATGGGTTTTATACTTAAGAAAAAAAAAGTGTCCAAAGAATTCTGCTCACTTCTCGCCTTCACAACAAACCACTCCCACCTCTATTTTGCTGGCCATGTACAGCAACAGACAAGGGATCGTGTGGAACCTGATGAATGAAAACCTCTTTTGAAAAAAACAAAAACTTTACACTCAGGATAATATTTCAGAACACATCACATCCTGCAGGGTTTTAATTTACCCATTTGTTATGCCTGCCTGTAACATAAGGGCCTTTATAACATTATTATTTAGCAGAAAAAAATGTGCACAGTTTAGCTCCTGCAAGTGAAGTACCCCTTAAATATGTATAAAGGAATGCAGAAACCCCAATAATAGTAAAGGTGTTCGAACATGAGGTAATGTGTGACCAATTATACAGGGTGAGTCAAAAGTAAGGAGCCTCTCAAGTATTGATAAATCTTAAAGAGGGACACTCTCAGCATTATAACCCTTTCCCTAAACTTCCCTTTAGTTTAAATTATTTGTCAAACTGACAAAATGAGGTGCTGCCTCCTCTGAAGTGGGGGGCATTGCAGGTTCTACTGTCTTGCAGCAATTGCAAAGAGTGACATGTCTCTCTGATGAGAGACAGTTGTGTGCAATGCCAATCATCACAGGGATAACACAGGGACAGAGACTTTACTCTGGAACCAAAACCACTTCAATAAGGTGAAGTGGTTATGGTACCTAGACTGTCCCTTTAATCTCTTGTTAACACTATGTAATAGACAAATTAATTAACCTATGTTGTGTGTGAGTGTTTCTAACTTCATTACTGATAGTGCAAGCATTTGATATTTTCTAAACTTTAATATAAAAATAAACCAGGTCATTTAACATGTGGAAAGACCCACTGAAATCTGAAACAGAAAATTAAAAACTGATCTCTTAGCTGTAACTGCATATTATACTCTATGTGTTGAATGAACTTTAAACAGTTAACTATTTACATATAGTCATTACTTGTATTTGCTTTCACCATTTACACTAATCAACCACAACATTAAAACCATCTGCCTAAAATCGTGTAGATTTCACTTGTGATGCCAAAACAGCTCTTTGAATCAAGACATGGACTCCACAAGATCTCTGAATGTGTCATGTGGTATCTGGCACAAAGACATTAGCAGCAGATAATTTAAGTCCCGCAAGTTGCGAGGTGGGGCCTCCATGGATCGGATTCGTTGTTCCAGCACATCCCATAGATGCTCAATAGGATTGAGATCTGAGGAACTTGGAGGCTAAGGCAACACCTTGAACACTTTGTCATGTTCCTCAAACCATTCCTGAACAATTCTTGCAATGTGACAGGGTGCATTATCCTGCTGATAGAGGCCACTGCCATCAGGGAACACCATTATCATGAAGGGGTGTACGTGGTCTGCAACAATCACTAGGTAGGTGGCACATGTTAAAGTAACATTTACATGAATGTCAGGACCCAAGGTTTCCTAGCAGAACATTGCCCAGAACATAACACTGCCTCTGCCTGCCACCTTCTTCCCATAGTACATCCTGCTGCCATCTCTTCCCCGGGTAAAAAACACTCATGCACTTGGCCATCCACCTGATCTAAAAAAAAATGTGATTCATCAGACCAGACTACTTTCTTCTATTGTTTCATGGTGGAGTTCTGATGCTCACGTAATCATTGAAGGTGCTTTTTGGTGATGGACAGGGGTCGTCATGGGAACTCTGAGCTGTCCATGGCTATGCAGCCCGATAAGCAGCAAACTGCAATTCACCTTTCTATAATAGCCAGCATTACGTTTTCCACCAAATTTGAGCTACAATAGCTCTTCTGTGCGATCAGACCAGAATACCCTTCACTCCCTACGTGCCCATGACCCAAACTTCAGTTAATCAGTTGTCCTTCCTTGCACCACTTTTGGTAGGTACTAAGCACTGTGTACAGTAAATACCCCACAAGACTTGCCATTTTGGAGATGGGCTGACCCAGTCGTCTAGCCATAACTATTTGACCCTTTTCTAAGACACTCAGATCTTTTCGCTTGCCCATTTTTCTAACACATGAAATTCAAGAACTGACTGTTCAGTTGTTGCCTGATATATCCCACCCTTTGACAGGTGCCATTGTAATGATATTATCAATGTTCATCACGTCCCATGATAGTGGTTTTAATGTTGTGGCTGATTAGTCTACAAAGCAGGGCTTCTTGTCCCTCTATAATGTCCTGTACCACTTGTTGAACTAGATTCATACATACATATATGCACTAGTAGTAGCAGAATATATTTATATAGCTGTTGCATTGGCATAGTGCTTGCTATTCCTGGCATGTTTTGTGTGTTGTCAATACATTTCCAGGTGCATAAAATATACTTTCGCAGGCAATCACGGTAGACTGCAATCTTGGCTCCCAATATACCTCTTCGTAAAAAATGGACTTAACATTCTATTTGTTTATGATCAATGTGGAATTCATTTTAGCATGCATTAGTTGGAATTCACATGCCTTTCGGTGTGTGGTAAAACATGAGCTATATATATAATATACTTTCTTTCTTTGGTGCTGGGCAGATGGCACTGATAATTTTTTTTCTTTCCTGTTGTCTGACCCCGATTTGTCTCTTTCCGTATCAGGGGATTTGGGGGCTAATACTTTCAGTATTGTCAGGGTCCTGCAGCACATTGCACGTTCCCTCCAGCACGGGAGAGGTCAGATCACCCTTTCCTATTTCCATTATCATTTTGTTATTTTCAGTTTCTCTGCTCTGTACCGCTCTTCTCCCTCCCCGCACACTTCAGCTGTTCTTTATCAGTCTTTCTCCAGCCTGTCTATCTCTCCATTTAACTCTTTATCACTTTTTTTGTTCTATTTTCTTATGCTGCTTCTGTTTCCCTGTCTGCTTTTCTACTTCCCCACTTGCTGCTATTCTCCTCCCATCTGAGTTATCCCCCTCTTCCTCACCGATCACTCAACACTCACTCTTACCCCTCATACCTCTCTTGCTCTTGGTTTCATCCCTCCCTTCCCCCTCTCCTGTCTTCCATCTGTCTCTCCCCCCTTCATCTCCTCCTTTTTTCCACCCACCCCTGCTGTTGTTTTCTCTTCACAGTCAATCCCTCATATGTATATTTTTTTTCTCTTCCCTAGTTTTATTTTTCCCCCACTCTTTCCTTCCTTTTTATCTTGAGGACATACCACTCCTCCCCCTCCTTTCTGCCTTTTTCCTGTTTATCGAGATCATTCTCTCCTTCCCCCCTTTCTGTCTGCCATCCTTCTTATCTTTCTAAAGCACACTTTTTCCTTGTCTCCTCGTTTCTTTCATATGTCTCCCCTCCCTCTATGCCCTGCCTCTCCCAATGCCTTTCTTTTCATATCTGTCTCTCCCAACGTGTCTGCAGTTACCCCTGTGCTCCTTTCCTCCTTGCAAGACCTATATAATATATATATATTTTTCTGTGCCTGCCTGGTGTTCTGTATCAGCTAACCCGCCCCTCCCTCTTCTCCTCTCTGTCTGATGTCCATCTCTTTCTACATGTCTTTCTCTCAATTGACATCACTCTGCTTTTTCATTTTCATTTTCCATATCCAGCTCTAGCTTGTCCTTTAACACAGCCGGTACTCTTCTATTCTTTTTTTTTTTTATTTTATTTTTTTCGCATCAGTCTCTTCTGTAATTTCTATCTTCGTGTCCATCATCTGTCATCCCTCCCCTGTCACCTTCTGCCCATCTCCCTCCTTATTTTCCCAGTGTCTCTCGATCTCACACTCACTCCCCCACCTTGTTCTACTTCTATATATTCCTGCCCTCCCTCTTTTCTCCTTCGCATCCCCTAATTTGTTTTACAATGTACTTTTTCTATCCCTGCGTTCAGTTAAATCTCCTTTTTTTACTGACCACCCCCGAGCCTCTCCTAATACTTTAGTCAACAATCTACCTCATCTTTCATTTCACTCGCTTCTCTTGTTTAGTTTTTAGTTTTTTTTCATTCTTCTTCCTTCGCTCCACATGCCCTTTCCCCTTGTCAAGCTCCCTCGCTTGTCCATCCTCTTGCTATCCATTTTTTTTCATCTTTAAGCCTTGCTTTTTCTTTCTTTTGCGTCTCAGCACACTTATCATCTCTCACTCCACACCTCCTCCTTATACTTCTCTCACCTCAACCCCCCCTTCACAGTATCTTTTCTCTCTTCTGTTTCCCTCCTCCCATTCCCTTTTTTTTTTACCTCTCCTGTCTAACTCTCAGTACATCTCTGCCTTGTCCCTCCACTGCTTCACTCTCCCTTCCTCCCATGCCTCTCCTTTTATCTGCCTCATCTGTCTTCTTCTTTCTTTTGCAGTGCCTCACTCCCACCCTCCCTCCCTGTTTCTCTCTTTCTCCTTCTCTCTCTTTCTCTCTCACACATTCTCTGTATCTTTCTTTCCTCTATTCCCACTTGTTTTAATATCTATCTTTTTATTTCTTTACTCTGATACAAAAGAGAGTTTTACACGTATTTTTGACATGACTAAAATGAACGCAACGTTTCTCTCATCCCTCCTGTGTGTTAGAAACTTGAGTTGTTTTTTTGTATTTTTATTCCACCCTCAAATACATCTCATGCTTTGTATTGTTCCTGAAACCTTTCTTAGAGATTTTCCAAGGTAACTCTTTCCTGCTCTGCTGTCTGCCTCAGTGGAATTCTAAAGCCCTGATGCAGTCAGATGAAATAGAGCACAGTTCTAAACCATAGAGAATGGATAGGCCTTTAAAAAATAAAATATATATGTGTGTGTGTATGTATATATATATATATATATATATATAACTATTTCACACTCAGAAGGTAGATACAAAAAAAAATAATTATGTGATAAAATGAAATAATTGCTGTGTCACCTTGTATGTTGTTGATATCAGTTTATTGTGGAGTGAGGCTCGCTCAGTATTTACACTGTATATTTAGTGGTGACATTCTGCCATATATACTTTTGACTGTGCTACTATTGTCTTACGTTACTGTTTGTCAGTTATTCGTGCATATCCAACGAAGGCTGTACCGCTGTGTAAAATGTCAATTGTGGAATTTTTATATTGTTTACATCGTGTACAGTAACTAAGACTCCACTGTAACTTGTACGGGTACACTAAACAGATCAAAACATGAATAGCACATTTGTAACACATGTTTTTGTGTTAGGCCTTTATTCAGCTGATACTTAGCTTGCACATTTTAAAGAAAAACACCAAGCTGCCTTGTATTAAAAAAATATGCACTCACATATGAAGTTCCTGGATTTGCAGCCAATCCCCATTACGGTGGAGCTTCTTCAGAAACCTTTCACCATTTTAGGAAGTGAATTTTCTCACTTAAACATCCTCTGTAGGCATCATAACCACTACAGCCCACTTTAGTGGTTATAGTACCTGAAGTCTTTTGGCACTGTCCCACTGTAAGTAATATCAGAAATGGAAGCTGGAATGGAGGCACCCAGGGGTCAAGGTAAGTGTCAGATTGTTGTAAAATGGTTTGACTGTTTACTGTGGGACTGCACCAAGGGACTATTGGCACTTTAATCACTACAGCAAAGTGCAGTATTTATCATGCCTAGAATGCCTTTTTAACTTTCTAATAGCATTTATGAGCTTTTCCCATAAGTAGCGCTTTATGAGTAAAGTAAGGGTTTCTGTGAGTTGCATAAAATACAAAGCCAAATTCCGTACCGCTACCCCAGGGATAAAAAGTAAAACAGCTTACTCCATAGTTTAGCTGCTCCAATAGGTGCCAGTTGTGCTGGTTTCTCTGTTCCAAAATAAAAAAAAATAAAATAGAGAAATAGTTTGGACCACACTCCTATAGCATCAGACCAGATATCACCTGGAGTATTCTATGAAAAGTGATGTTTATTGATCAATGCAGTCATACATTGCAGTAAATCAGACAGATATTGTCAAAAAATAAATACCACAGCCCTAAATACAGGAAAAAAACGACAATATTAAAGGATAGCTGAATGCATTGCGTGTCTACTACAATCGCTTTCTCAGCAGCAGCTTTTTCAAGTGTGTGGACATATTTTTGCTGTGTTTTTTTTCATATTTGTTTGTACCGGAATAATCTGATTTACTGTCATATATAACTATTTTGGTCATCACTTTTCATGGAAAACTTCAGGTGATGTCTGGTCTGATGCTATCCAAAGCAGTCCAAAGCTTTATTTCTGCAAGTTGTATTTCAAATGTCCGTTTTCTAATATAGAGTCTTACTGTGGTCATTACATCACAATATTTTTGTAGCAAAATTTGAAATACTGTAGTCTGGGGAGGGCAGGACTGAAATGGTGAGCTTATAGGGTATACCTGACTATTTAAAAGAAAGAATGTCCAGCTTAGCCTAAAGGGACACTATAGTCACCATACAACTTATGCTTAATGAAGTAGTTTCATGTATAGATAATGCCCCATGCACTGCTCAATTCTCTGTCATTTAAAAATTAAATCACTTTTTTTTGGAGTCCTAGTCACACTTACACAGCCTTCCTAAGCATATCCTGTAAAGAGTCCTCTAATGTTTAAACTTCCTTTATTGCAAACTGTTTAATTTGGAATTTCTTATCACATGCTCCATTAACTGCTCTGTAGACCCTGCAGGAGCCTACTGTCAATTTACAGAGCAGAAGATAGAAACTTTTAAAGTAACTTACATCTGATTGAAAATTAAACCATTTTCTTTTCATGCAGGCTGTGTCAGGGGAGGTGCGGGTAGGGCTACATATACAGAAAAAAAAGTGATTTTTTAACTCCTAAATGGCAGATAGCTAAGCAGTGAGACTACAGTGTCCCTTTAATCTTACCTGCACATTGCCCCTAACATACATGGTGTGTCACTGCAGGTGATCTGGAAAGACTGAGTGAGAGAATTTTTTCTAACGGTTGTTTTGCATAAAATGCTGCCAATTTATTGATTATTGTTAGTGATGTCCTGAACGGTTCGCCGAACGGTTCGCCGAGGACTCATCATTGAGTAAACTTTGACCCTGTACCTCACAGTCAGCAGACACATTCCAGCCAATCAGCAGCAGACCCTCCCTCCCAGACCCTCCCACCTCCTGGACAGCTTACTAAGAATGCAGCTTCACAATGAATGTAAAATGGATGCTGTCCAGGAGGAGGGTCTGGGAGGGAGGGTCTGCTGCTGATTGGCTGGAATGTGTCTGCTGACTGTGAGGTACAGGGTCAAAGTTTACTCAATGATGAGTCCGTGGCGAACCGTTCGGCGAACCGTTCGGGACATCACTATTTATTGTAGTTGCTCTTAATCATATATCTAGGTCAGGTCCCAAATGCTGGTCCACCCATAAAAATAAAAAATGTCTATAGTTTTGGTGAAAATGTATTATAACACTATAAAGTGATTTAAAAAAAAAAAAGAAACCTTTTTTTATATATTCACTTGTAGTAATACACCGTAAAGGACAGGAGTGCATGACCCATCAGCTTTTCTTTCTTCTTTGAGAAGGTTGTTGCATTCAACCATCTGATTGTTAGGATGTACCCAATGCATATCAAGCAGTTCAGCAATGGCATACCTTTTGGCTCTCAAATGGTTAAGGTTCTAGAATCCTACACCTATTTACCATTAAGTGCAGCGTTTTATTTGTAAGGTCAGTTTTGTTTGTGTTGTATTAATGTACAGATTCCGTGACTGATTTTTTTCAGGGGATTTTTGTCCGTATGTTACCAAACACAAACATTTTATATTGAAACCTGAAATCCCATAAATGTATTTTCATGGTTACAACTGGTTCTTTGTGTTTGAGGTTTTTTATTTGTTACTACTGTTAATCTATCTTCTCTTTTTAATGCAAATAGATTTTATGTAACTGGTCACTGAAGTTACAGTTTACTGGAATCAGGAACCTTAAACTCTTACATAGATGATGGTATCTAAGAAAAAGTTCTCTATTTTAACCATAGCTAGCCAAATCTAAAAGTTACTTTCCACCTCAAACTTTTATTGACAGAATTTAATTTTTTGCTGTCTGTCGCATGGGGCATTGGTTTGTAAATGAAATAAGGATGTGTTTGCATTGCCTGTCTGTGTAAATACAATTATATATTTTTGTTCACTGTTTACTGTTTGTATTTGTATTAGAATGTAATTGTGTACTTGTGTTTACTACCTATGATTGCGGGAGTGTATATGTGATAAATATATGCGTGAAATGTGACTGCAATGGTATTTGCTAGGTCAGTGCCTATTTTGCTGCAGATGGCCCTGCCTGGCTACGCATGCATGGCAAAACTCCACACTGCTCCAATCAGCATCTCCTGGGGAACATTCAGCACCTCCATGCAGAGAGTGGACATGCCGAACGCTAGTGTTGCATACTGTGCAGCACTGACACAGAAAGCACCTCTAGTGGCCGTATCAGTGATTGCCACTGGAGGAGTCCCTAGGCTGTAATCTAAGCGTTTACATTCAAAAGCCTGCAGGGACATGCTATAGACACCAGAGCAACTACATTAAGCTGTAGTTGTTCTGTTATCTATAGTGTCCTTTTCAGACTTTTTTCTCTCCTTTTGCATACTTTTGGCAGCTGGAGTGGCCTCATCATTGGGCAGTGGTGTACATACTAGGGTCGCAGGGGTCGCGACTGCGACCGGGCCCGACCCGGTATGTACGCCCAGGGCCAGCCTCTTCCCCTGGGGGGCCCAGGAGCCGGCCACCCCAGGGCCCCGCCGAGGCTGGCCCTGCTGACCCCGAGTGGCCGGTCGGGCAGGCAGGCGGGCGCGCGAGGGAGCACTCAGTGCTTCCTCTTCAGCTCCCTCGCGCACTGCAGTGATACCGGAGCCAGAAGATGACGTCATCTTCCGGCGCCGGCATCCCTACGCGGCGCGCGAGGGAGCTGAAGAGGAAGCACTGAGTGCTCCCTCGCGCGCCCGCCCGCCTGCCCGACCGGCCACCCGACCAGGAGCCCCGCAGCACCACTGGACCCCAGGGAATCCCCCCAGCACTCCAAAAGGTAAGGAGGCTGGGGGGATTACATTTAAAAAAATAAATAAAAATCATGTGTGAGTGTTAGTGTGTGTGAGTGTTAGTGTGTGTGAGTGTTAGTGTGAGTGTTAGTGTGTGTGTTAGTGTGTGTGAGTGTTAGAGTGAGTGTTAGTGTGTGAGAGTGTTAGAGTGAGAGTGAGTGTTAGTGTGTGTGTTAGTGTGTCTGCTAGTGAGTGTTAGTGTGAGTGTTAGTGTGTGTGTCTGCTAGTCAGTGTGAGTGTTAGTGTCAGTGTTAGTGTGTTAGTGTGTGTGTCTGCTAGTGAGTGTCAGTGAGTGTGTTACTGTGTGTGTCTTACTGAGTGTGTGTGTGTTAGTGAGTCTGTTTGATGTCTGTTAGTGAGTGTGTGTTTGTCAATGAGTGTATGTTTTGTAAGTGAGTGTGTATGTATGTCTGTCGCTGAGTGTGTCTCTGTCAGTAAATGTGTGTGTCTGTTAGCTAGTGTGTATGCGTCTGTAAGTGTGTGTGTGTGTGTCTTCAGCACTTACCTTTCTCCAGCGCCGGACTCCCTTGGCGCTGAGGATCCCTCAGCTCTCAGCTCCGAATGCGACCGCGCACGCATTCAAACCGCCCATAGGAAAGCATTACTCAATGCTTTCCTATGGACGTTCAGTGTGCTCCTCTAGCGGCTGTCAGTGAGACAGCCACTAGAGGCTGGATTAACCCTCAGTGAAACATAGCAGCTTCTCTGAAACTGCTATGTTTTCAGCTGCAGGGTTCAAACTAGAGGGACCTGACACCCAGACAACTTCATTTAGCTGATGTGATCTGGGTGTCTGTAGTGGTCCTTTAAAGGACCACTATAGTGCCAGGAAAACATACTCGTTTTCCTGGCACTATAGTGCCCTGAGGGTGCCCCCACCCTCAGGGACCCCCTCCCGCCCGGCTCTGGAAAGGGTAAAACTTACCTTTTTCCACCGCTGGGCGGAGAGCTCTCCTCCTCCGATCCTCCTCTTCTCCTCCCCGTCGGCTCGTTGCGCACGCGCGGCAAGAGCTGTGCACGCATTCAGCCGGTCACATAGGAAAGCATTCATAATGCTTTCCTATGGACGCTGGCGTGCTCTCACTGTGAAAATCACAGTGAGAAGCACGCAAGCCCCTTTAGCGGCTGTCAATGGGACAGCCACTAGAGGAAATAGGGAAAGGCTTAACCCATTCATAAACACAGCAGTTTCTCTGAAACTGCTATGTTTATGAAAAAATGGGTTAACCCTAGCTGGACCTGGCACCCAGACCACTTCATTAAGCTGAAGTGGTCTGGGTGCCTAGAGTGGTCCTTTAAGTGTGTGTGCTTCTGCATGCACTGGCGTACATACCGCGGTCGCAGCCCTGTAACCCCTGCGACCAGGTGCCCACCGCCATGTGTTGCGGCCCGGCCCGCGCGCGGGGGGGGGGCCCATGGATCAATTTTCGCACCGGGGCCCCGTGGGTCATGTGTACGCCACTGTCATTGGGGTTTAGTAGACTTTAAGGCAGCACATGGAGCTGTGCCACATATATATCTGATTAGAACTCTAACAATGCTTGGAGAGAAAATGTGACATCACACTTCTTTAGAGTACAAGGCACCAGGTAGTTTGTCAGATAAAAGATACCAGACGTTCAGCTCCTTGCTGATGAACTTGTTACTGCCAACAGAAGCCCTGGCACTGGATTCTCCAAAAACCAAAAATCAGCCGCCTGCTTCCCTTTCCATTTAGTGTCTGCGGTTAGAATAACACCTTGCCAGAACTCAATTTCATATGCCAATGGCGAGTGGGAGACTGTTAAAACAGAACTGAATATTTCCACAGTATCAGAATATTACACAGCAGATGAAAAATGCTAATTACAACCACTATCTTCTTGTCCTGGCATGCAACTAGTTAATTTTGTCTCCCTTTTTCCTTGATACATTTTGCATGCAGTACATTGGTTCCTACACAATATGTAAAAAGTAAAGACCCTCTTTGTTTGCCCCTTTGTCTCATTCTATTCCTATGCTTTCAGTCTCTCCCCTTACTCTTCTCTCGTCTTTCTGTATTCTTACAACACACCCCCTTTCTTTCTTTTTGTCCTCACTCTCTCTCTTCCTGTCCTCCCTCCCAATGTGACAGTGTCCCTTGTTTCTGCAGCTGTCTCCTCCCAGTCTGCCTTTTTTTTCCTTTTGTCTGGGTCTAATACACTCTTCCTATTTTAACTCTTCCTTTACCATTGTCTATATTAAAACTGAACTGTCTGTATGGCTGTGCAAATTAAGTGTCAAACCTTTCTCACTATCAGAAAAGTGATTTCTAATAGTGAAGGGCTTAACGCCTTTTATTATTATTATTATTATTGCCATTTATATAGCACCAACAGATTCTGTATTCTTTACAACGCCTGTATATTTAATTTGTTATTCCTATGCGAGTGAAGTGGAAATCCTGTGAGTTTCCTGAGACACTGACCTGAAAGTTGGCTTCCTAGCGGTCAGTCGGCTTTATTTGCTAAAATGTGGATTCCTGGGAAATTACTGTATAATTCAAACTACCTGCCAAAATATTGGAACTGAAAACATAAGTAGTTTGGAGCATTTTTTCTATTCAGCTATTATGACCCTCCATTTTAAATTCACATAGAATTCCTGACAATTCTTAGTTTAGTGAATAACCCTGTGTGTATTTTAGTTTGGAAAAGTAACTTCGGCTAGTTTTCCACTAACAAACCAAAGTTTTTTTACAGCTGAGAGTCATTTTATATTAAATCACTTTCTACCACCTCTGCTGGGAAGCAGTGACACGAAACTCACACCAATCTGTGCAGCATTTGTGTGTTATTTTAAAGGGACACTATAGGCACCTAGACCACTTTATCTCAAGTCTAGGTGCCATGTTCCCCGTTTTAACCCTGCTTCTGAAAAAACATTGCCGTTCAGTGGAATGGCAATATTTTCTTTGAAGGTTTTAAATGTCTTTAGTGGATGTTACTCAGACTGCCACAAGAGGCGCTTCTGATAATATAGCTAAGTAAAACTCTGCTTTTTTATCAGATGGTTTTACAGAGATATTCTGATTGGTGCACTTGGACGTGACTAGCGACCTAAACGGCCACCAGGGCACTATGACGTTACAAATAAACGTGTATTCCTAAAGCTATCGTGCTCCTTTAAGATCTGTTTTTGACTTGACATTTGAATTGTTCCAAGATTTAAATGTTCATGTTAATCTTTTGAAACCCTCTGGCCTAAACAGAACACTGACCTAAAAATGTTATTTTTGTTTTGACTTATTGTTCAGGTCATTATCTCTTGTGTATTTTTTTTTAAAGTTATTTTTAGGAGATATAGCTGTTTTATTTTTATTTGGGGGGGGGGAGGTGTCGTGGAGGGGTTCACCCTCTAAATAAGGAAACATATCTTGTGTTTATTACAGAAACCTAGTATGTAAAGATGTTATAAATATTTAACTTGCTCCTTGTTCCAATTCATTCAAAGCAGTGTTTTTAATATTATAACTTATCCTGTCCATAGATGTGAGAAGGACTACAAAAATTGCAGGGTAAAACTTACGAGGAAAGGTTAAAAGATCTTAACATAAATAGCTTGGAGGAAAGACAAGACAGGGGAATATGATAGAAACATTTAAATACATAAAGGAAATCAACTATCACTTTACTGAGAGGGTAGTGGATGCATGGAATAGCCTTCCAGCTGAAGTGGTAGAGGTTAACACAGTAAAGGAGTTTAAACATCCATGGTATGGGCGTAAGGCAATCCTAGCTATAAGATAAGGCCAGGGACTAATTAAAGTATTTCGAAAATTGGGCAGACTACATGGGCCGAATGGTTCTTATCTGCCGTCACATTCTATGTTTCTATGTAGCACAGTAAAGGAGGAGAATATATTTAAAAGAAGAAAAACTACCACATCAAGAGGACATTGTCTTAAATTAGAGGGGCAAAGGTTTAAAAATAATATCAGGAAGTATTACTTTACTGAGAGGGTAGTGGATGCATGGAATAGCCTTCCAGCTGAAGTGGTAGAGGTTAACACAGTAAAGGAGTTAAGCATGCGTGGGATAGGCATAAGGCTATCCTAACTATAAGATAAGGCTAGGGACTAATGAAAGTATTTAGAAAATTGGGCAGACTAGATGCCGTCACATTCTATGTTTCTATGTATATGGACATTGCACACACAGTGTCATTTATTCTGAAAAGGGTTAAATGGTGAAGAAAGCATTTTTGGTGTACTTGCTGCTTCCAGTTTCTTCTTGTCCCAGCTAGGAGTTTTGTTAAAATGACTGCCAGGACTTGTCTGAAGACTTTCACATATTGAATAACATCCTCATAAGACTTTCTTTTTCTGTCTGATCAAGGTTTATGACGCTCCAGATTGGTTTGCATATTTAACTAGTCCATACTTTAAAGAAGTGTATATTCAAACAAGCCTTGTTGTCAAGCAGTCTGATTCTGTAAGTGAAGTCCTGCATTGTGCATTCTGTGTTTTTCTACAGGGTTTTGAAATAGCTCTACGTGTGCTTTGTCCACCTAGTCACAGTGGTACGTTGCATTCAACAGTTGACATTGTTATATGGGGCGAGCTTTAGCCAACTGTCGCTTCACACTCACCCAGCTGCATCGCCACAGTGATAGTCACAACCGTCTGCTGCCGTTCACAGACATGATAACACTTAACATAGAATCACACAGATTGAAACATTGCAACATAATGTGCTATGTTTTTATTTCATTTTATATATTATTTTTTGTGTCCCTGTGATTTTCTTCTTTTATGTGACTGCAACAAAAAATGGACCGGTATCTTTTGAGGAAAATTGATCTTTCCTAAAACATATAACATTGTCAGCCTGCTTGTTTTTAGTGCTGGTGTTTTACAGAAGTTAATCCTCCCATAGCTCAAAAACATAATATTCAACGTTACAAACACATTCAGAATGAATCAAATTCAGGCATCATCATGTACTTTATTTACACAGAGAAGTTATACGATGGTATTTTCTGCTTTTCTTGAAACCTGATTTTCTAAAACCCTAGAACAAGACATCCCTAATGTGGCGTACAGAACATTTAGTATATTTCCTATATTCATATAACATTATTCATTGATGAAGTTCTCTGCATCTATCTCATATTCTGCTTTTTCCCAACTACCTACAGCAACCTCTACACATCATGAGTATTCACAAATCATCATTCAGTCACTGCCAGTCTACATCTTTGTAATACGAAAATACTTTAAATTAAATTGCAGAGATTTTTGTATTGAAAAGTAAATGCAATCTAAGCCATAAAAATATCAACCAGTATGATTTTCACTTATATTTGCATATAGTGGCTATCAATGGTTCAGGTCAGTGTTATGATTGCCAGTGGCACTTGTGAATGAAGAAAGTGGGTTCTTAAACCAGTGATGCAGTAGAGTTGCCGTGACCTATTTAAATTTCAGTGAAGCATTTTTTTTAAAAAAAAGATACCAAAAGTACATCCTGCTGATGCTGTAGAGCACTGTAATACATTCCATACCATTTTTTCTGGCAACGCATTGAATACAATCCAAATCTGTGCTATCTCTGGTGATATCACTATTTATTTTTCAGTTAAAAAAAACGTCCATTGACAGTGGAATCATCATGCCCGATTGTGCTTTGAGTGTGTGTTGATGTGTGTGGCTGTATCTCTCTGCCATATCTGTCCCTTGTATCTGTCTGTATGTTAGTGCCCTGAGTAGACTCTATGTTGAGTGCACCATCTTTCTCTCACCTTGCATGTCTCATTCTTTGGGCTATATTGGCCAAATCTTTGTAACTCTCTTGTCAGTTTTCAAAAACTTGTAACTTAAAGACAATTTGTGTTGTTTATATCTTTACTTTATGTATCTTTCTTTTTGTTTTTATGTCTTACTCTTGATACCTATGTACAAACACACACATGTTTTAATTACACCCTATCATGGAATTATTTTAACACACTTCGCCTGACAACAGAATGATCAAAATGATGATAGATATAAAGCACTTGGGTCTATGTTAGTGCCATATAATGCTAATAATAATAACGTGTCTTAAAATAACAAATGAAGCGGAACAGGCAGAAAAAAGCAGGCACTGCTGAGGAATTAAGGCAGGCAAAGTAAGTCTCAAGGCACGTACAAACAAGTCTTTTTAAAGAGATGCGGAGATCCATCAGCATTGCTACATAATTTAAAAACCCAAACGATAGAGGTTTGTCTCAAATAAGAGGTGGGTAAGTGGACAGTGGGATTGTATGCACTAAATGGAGAGATGGAGTAGACCTTGAAAGGACCCATTGTGGTTAATTGATCAGGGATTGGGGCACAGCCTTAGTTAATGCCATTTTTACATTATGTGTGAATATTTCCTGCACACTCATACTGGCACTCAAGGGTCTTTTGAGGAGGCCAAATATAACCTGCAATTTTGCTTTCTATTATGATAAAACTAGTGCTGAATGTGGCAGCTTCTCTGAGGCAATATCTTCAAAAATGTTTTTTTCTCCTGGCATTTCTTTGTTGACTTCTGTCATCTAACATGGACGTTGTAGATGACAGTGTGTCCTTAAACCCCTGTACATTAGCTGTATATCCCCTGAGCTATGGGAGTATGGCTTCTTACTATGATCATCTCCTCCCTCTTCTCTGAAAGCTCAGAGGCACTCCTTGACAGAGGGTTTCAGTTGGTCAACATTGGAAGTCCTGGTAACACCTAAAGCAGGGGTACGCAACCATCGGCACCTTAGATAGTGTGGACTAGGGCTACATCTCCCTTGATGCTTTGCCAACAATATTCCTGTAAGAACATTATGGTAGATGTAGTCCAAAACATCTGGAGTGCCGAAGGTTGCCTACTCCTGACCCAGAGACTAGACTGTCTACTACTTCTAAGTGAGCCTTTCACTTTTTCCAAGTTTATTAGAATAAGTACCATTCACTTGGCTAATGATAACTTCTAGACCACAGAACATACTTGCAAATTAGCATAAAGCTCAGTGTAGCTTTCCTTGTTAAATAGTTTGTTGTTGTCATTTTTTTTTTTATCAATACTAAATCTTTCACAGAACTGCAGTAAAATTACTATCTTCCTTCTCCGCTGCTAATGCATTTCTGTGTCTAATGCTTGAAGGGTAACAAGTTCACTTACAAAAAATAGCATTATGGTGTTTCGATTTGCAGTGTCACGTTTATAATTTTAATGTTTTCACTGATCTGGAATCAGAGCTTATTATCAAAAGTCCAAGGAGGTTAAATATAAAGAGCAATTCTGGAGCAAACCTAAAAAAAATGTTAACTGTAACTATGGAAACCAGTAGAATATTGCTGCGGATTCCTACTCTTTTGTTTTGGACCTGATTAGCTCTTAATTTGTAAAGTCCCTACAGAAGCCTTTCTTTTGCTCTGCATACACATAACAATTGACTGGTATGATGGTTTTGCAACCTATCAATGTTGCTAATTAAAAACAAAAATCTTCTCTACTCCATAGACTAAAATTAACCATCTGATAAGAAAATTAAGTTGGGAATGATGGGAGTGGTTGGCCGTATAAATACTACCATACTTCCCTATGCTGATTTTTACGGTTCTGCACACTCTTTATATTTCTCACTCTATTTTAAATTAATTTTCTCATTGGTACGTTATCAAATTCACCTTTCACCTTCTATATTTTTTCCCTTTCTTTATTTTTCCTTATCTTTCTCAAAGGTAGGCACTCTACAGGCTTAACCATATGGAAGACTGCCTTGGCATCTGCTGCTCAGCCATACCTTCAAACGTTCATCATCATATTATAAAAATGTTGATGTATAACAAACTGTCTCGTGGCAAATCTAGTGCAAAGATTACAGTCGGAATAGAAAAGAAGTCTCGTAAATTAACCACTGTCTGAAACATGCTTATAGACTTAAATAATTTTTTTATATTTGTGAGATGGCAAACACATCATTGTAGTAAACCAACTTTCTGATTTAGCTTTGGAACGACAGGGTTAACAACAAAGCAAATCCCATTTCGTGGTTGCAGTGAAATCTGTTTTATTGTAATATAATCCTGGTATAGCAGCTAGTGCCGTGGAGGAAATGGAAATTAAATGAGGATGGGTCAGAGCAGTTGTTTTTTTTTTTGTTTTTTTTCTTTGTTTTTTTTCCCCACAGTGGCTGGTTCCCCTGCTGGCAATTTTTAGTGGTCATATTATAAAATGATTGTCCCAAGTCACTATTTGTTGCTGTGTTGACAGAACCTGAGTATCTTCCAAGTGAAGATCTGGAAAATTTAAAAGCTTATTCTTTTTTGTCTTTATGCCATGAAGTCAGTTGAAATGCACTGGGACATCAAAATAAAAATGCAGAGGAGTGATAAAAAAAAAAAAATTGTCATAACTAACGAATTTCCCAAGGGAGTTTTTCTGATCATCTAGAAGACTTCTAGCCAACACAGTGTCCATGAAAGGGAATATTCAGTCTGTCCAGTTCATTGAGTTGCCAGCTTTTCTTCTTCAAATCATCTAGATTAATCTAAGTGTTTGCATATTCCTTTGAATCCACATATCAGACCATTTTGCATCTCCCACATGATTCAAATTGGGTACTTTCACACGTTGTTTTTTTTTCAAATTTGTTTTATGATTTTTTTTTTTTTACTTTGGGAAAGTCCGTTTAGTACGTTGCATCATTTCTTTGAATTGATGTGCTTCCTTTAAGTCTTCTCACAAGAAGTGTCACAGTATCCCAAAGTTCCTCTGGGTTTCAGATGTCCAAAGAACATCCTTCTGAGCCACTGGGATTAATAATTATCCAGAGATCATCTCGGGAACACATTATTCTTTCTCTGTAGATCCATTTTCCATTAAACCATTTATTTTCAATTGGAAAGCTTTAGCCGCTGTACAAGATTGTCATGTAATTAAAGCATCAGCTGATGTTGAAGACCTTTTTGAACTGCTTATTTGTCTCTGTTACTCTGAGTAAGTGGGTGCTTTCAGACCTGTAATTGGGGTATTAGAGACCCTGGGAGGTATTCATTATTAGAGTTTTTATTTTTATTATACAAAATTATTTCTAAAATAGCACTCTTAATTTACTTCTCTTGTAACTTTTTTTCTTAAGCGTTTTAGATGTGCTTGGGAGTACTGGTCAGTTGAATTAGCACATATTAAAGTTTATGAGATTATACAAAGGTATACTAAACCATAAAGAACTGTAATCCATAGTAATCTCTTTCCAACTGCAGATATATAGTTTGTGTTTATTGTTTTTTGAATATAGTCTAACTACAAGCATTTATTTACCAGGCCTATGTTTACAGGGGTATATTTAAAGGTCATCCAATTCTGTGCGTGATATGTCTTGTGCCCCAATTACTTATATTTCTCCTTGACCTACAGTAGGGTCCCACAGAGGTTTTACATTGTCAAGGCTTACAGCCCTGTCATTAGCAGGTCTGCTGCCCAGATGGAGGGAGATATACTTGCTTAATGTTATAACTTGGCGCGTGAGACATGTGATATTGATTTGATCTTCTCTGGACTGAAGTTAAGCAAGAGAAAGTACAAAAGGAAAACATAATTGGAAATATTTGTAATTGAATGCAATAAAATTGTCCATAAATCAATGAAAAGCCTAATTGTGAGCGAAAATGACATATGAAAATGTGTTCTTAGCAGAACTGAATATGCTCAGAATGATGGAGTATCCACCTCAAAACGTCCATCCCCTAATACTCTCCCATCATGCTGGCTTACCCATCCAACTTAGCTTCTAGTACCATTCTTGAGTTGTTCACATGGGTTTAAATGTCCCATACCCTCTTAGGATATTTTTGTCTAGAACACCACCTGTTTTTTTTTAATTTTACAGACATTAACAGGTCCAAAGCAGTTCCCTAACTTCCCTGAGAAGATCTTCAGACGTTGCACCTTCTTATTATTCAGATTTGGGGCTCACCAAGAAATAACCTGCAACGTACCTATCTCTGACTCTACAGTTACTCTTATTTGTATCTCCTTATCCAACTTAAACATTGATTACATACTTGTCTCTGCCATTTGCTTAGTGTCCCATGCTTTACCTGTGGTCTCTCTTGTCCTCCTCCATTTTTATAGTGCTCTCGTCTTTTATTTTCTCTTGGTTCTTTTCTTACTAAAATCTTTTTCTTTTTCGATCCACAGCTAATAATATCTCCCTAGATCATATTGCTATAATAATGCTTATAACATGGTTAACCAGGTGGCAGAAAGGATGGTCAGACAAGTTTCTGTTGCAAATAAGCTTATTTTCCAGGTTGGCTGTTTTGCCTCGAGTTGACTGCAAATTTAGGTTTCAATTAACCGCAATTTGCTATCACGTGAATGTACCCCATGCAATAGTGTGTCATATCACAATGTAAGCTCTACATTTATCGTAAGCTGTTTGTTACTACTTTCCTAAGGCACAATCTCCCAACTCTGGTGGTATCAAGATGATTGTAAAATTAGTAAAAAGCAGAATTTGTCTTTGTTGGGTTTTTTTTGAGCTGCAGTTGTTTTCCGTTTTGTGCACTGAAAAATAGAAACATCCATGATCAGATTACTTTTGGTTTTTCAGCTCCGGGTGCTGGAAGACATGGTTGCTCTCATACCCAGTGGTGCGATAGTTAAATGTATTAGATTTGTGAAAATCTGCAGATCAGCATTACCATGAGGTTTGCATTGCATACTGTACATTTCAAGCTAAACATTTTTTTTTCTATAATTACTGAAAAAGGTAAATCATGATATAACATTGTCAATAATCTGGAGAATGGACATCATTATTAATAGAAATGCACATTGTACGTTGTGTTTTTCAGGGAATCTCGAACAGCTTGATGTTATGTAAGATGGAACGCTTTACAGATTTTGGTACTCAGACGGATGCAGTGGTAGTGCTTTCACTAGCACAGGCAGCTGTTTTAGGACTGGTGTCTGAAAATGAACTGTTTGGTGCCACCATTAGCCCCAGCGGCTTTTTCCCTACATCCAGGAGTGAGTTTTCAGATAAAGGACCCATTGAAGCCCAACAGCCAGAGGAAGACTCCTACCTAAATTCAGGTGGAAAGGTTGCAGCCGAACCACAAGAAGATGAGGGCTTAGATTCAGAAAAACATACGCGGAGGAAGAAGAGGCAGCCTGTAAGAGTTGTGCCGAAAATTAAATATGAGAAAACTGAAGAGGAAGAAGAGATCTTCAAAGTCACTGTAGAAGGAAATGGTGAAGAACAGCACCTGCAAGGAAACCTTGCATCAGAATCTCCAGAGCTGGCTTGTGAGAATTCTGTGCAAAACAGTAATGTAAAAATGATAGACCTCAGCACTTTTCGTAGGAGGCCTCGGAGACCTCGCCACTTGCGGGAGAGGCAACATCACGAGGTTGAAGCAGATTACAGACATATTTTACAGCACCCAATGCAGAATCCATACCCTCTCCCACCTGTTCCAATGATCCAAGGGAACACTGGTTTGGAGAACTTTCAGAGACAATGTAGTTTTGTCCCAAATATGATGCCCTCTGGTGACACTAGAGCCCCTAATGTAGAATCCCCAAAGAGAGAGGAAAATGGCCAAAACTATGCTTGGCAAGATCCAAATGAGTTTGAAACCGATTCAGCAGAATCTATTGAACGCAACAAAAAGGCTCAGTTGGACCGTTTGGACATTAATGTTCAGATTGACGACTCTTACCTTGTAGAAGCTGGAGACCGTCAGAAACGTTGGCAGTGCCGCATGTGTGAGAAGTCTTACACCTCTAAATACAACCTGGTAACACACATCTTGGGACACAGTGGAATCAAACCTCACTCTTGCCCACACTGCAACAAGCTTTTTAAACAGCCAAGCCATTTACAAACACATCTTCTTACTCACCAAGGAACTAGGCCACACAAGTGTGAAGTGTGCAACAAGGCATTCACACAGACTAGTCACCTAAAAAGGCACATGTTACTTCACACTGATATCAAGCCCTACAGCTGCCGCTTCTGTGGTCGTGGCTTTGCTTATCCCAGTGAGCTCAAAGCCCATGAAGTGAAACATGAAAATGGACGGTGCCACGTTTGTGTGGAATGTGGCCTGGATTTTGCCACCCTTACACAACTGAAACGACACATTTCATCACATCAAGGTCCTACTCTGTACCAATGCATGGAGTGCAGCAAGTCCTTTCACTACCGCAGCCAGTTGCAGAATCATATGCTGAAGCACCAGAATGTTCGACCATTTGTCTGTAAAGAATGTGGCATGGAGTTTAGCCAGATTCACCACCTAAAGCAGCACTCACTTACACACAAGGTAGATTTGAATTGTGCTGATAACTACCCCCAATGTAACAATAGCAGGGTTGTTCTCTAAAGTGAAAATTCAAAGTTAATTCTAAGCAAATTTCAAATTTAAAGTGACACTCTACTGCCCAAATACAAAAATATAAACCACTATAGCATATATGCCCCCAATAAAAACATGCATCCATTTAATAGGGGATATATATAACTTTTTGCAAGCAAATTGCTTGCAGAAGTTGCAGGTCTTTTTCTGTGGTTGTACAATCACAGACTTCCAAATGCAACTCATTAAGAAGTCTTTACAGGTACTATGACCAATTACCTTGCCTCTCGCATTTTAGGTCAAATTAGGAAGGAAAAGGACCAGTTGGATGATTGACAGCCTAGGGTGTAACAAGGTTAATGTATAAAAGTACCATTTTTTTTTTTTTAGATTGAAATCTGCAATTTATTTTAAATGAAAACATAGAAACATAGAATGTGACGGCAAATAAGAACCATTCAGCCCATCTAGTCTGCCCAATTTTCTTAATACTTTCATTAGTCCCTAGCCTTATCTTATAGCCAGGATAGCCTTATGCCTATCCCACGCATGCTTAAACTCCTTTACTGTGTTAACCTCTATCACATCAGCTGGAAGGCTATTCCATGCATCCACTAAAAAGAGGATATACTCTTCTCACAAAAAGCACATTGGAAAGTGAAGGTCTTTTTAGGGTCAGGGTAGTCAAACCGGCTATTTTGACCTTAAATATGAAATTCACTTTGAATTCTCACTTTAGTCTATAAACTGTAGGTCTTTTTCTACCTCAAAACATTTTAATTGTTGTTTGGGAATAAATGTCCAAAGAATCATAAACATTTGCAAACACTTTAGACCAGAATAATTATATTAATTAGATTTAAATAAAGTATACATTAACATCAGTAAATTACTTCTAGTGTTCACAGCAAACTGTCACAATAGCCCATAAAGATATCCCTGTACTGACCTGTACTCTCCAGGGATGGGGAACTCAGAAAAATGTATATTTCTAAAAGCAGGAGATTTAATCTGGTGGAGCATAGGGTAGTCATTTGACTTTTAGCATTATGTTCTAGAATAGCATATTTTCATTTAGAAATCTCTCCCTCTCGGGTTTGTTCACTAAATATTGAATATAAATAAAAACAGAATTGCAAAATTTAGGAAAACATTTATTTGGCGAACATTTTGAGAAAAAGTTAATCTGAACTAAATTTCCTATACTTTTTAAGTGGGGAAATGTGTTTTGTAGTGCCCATTAGTGAAAATGCCTATATTTGGAAATATTGCTTTATCGGATGAACTGCATTTTGAAAATGTGTTCATTTATTGACAAACTTGCAAGATTCACAATTTACCTTTTTATGTGAGGGCGTACTATTCTCCATAAGTGGTGGACCAAATGAAACAAACTTTACTGGCCAATGTGGCCATCTAACGTGCTTGTGCTGTTTAGTAGGATGTGATTTCATAGACTTTCAGAGAGCACTGTAAAAGGGGCTTCTCTCAAACCCCATGGGGTCAGCAATATCACCCGAACAATGTTCCATGTTGGCTAGTTCTTCACCACATCTTAAATAGGCAAACAAAAATAAAGCATTATACTTCAAGCACTATAACCACTACAGCCTGCTGTGGTGAACTGAGATTGACATGTAGTGTATTATTGTATTTTGTTTAATGTATTTTGTTCTATTTTCCTTTAACATAATAAGGAACAAGAGAATGTAGGCAACTTATTTCCATTGAAGATGTTTAGTGTAGTTCTTCTAGTTTTCACAAAGCAGGTTAATTTGGGAGGTACCAGCTTTGCAGGTCCTGCCTCCCCAGTCAGTACCATGGACAGGGCTCAAATATTAAAACCCGGTGCTGTTGACTAGGGCAGGGTGAAAATTGACATTTTGTTCTCATGGAAACTCTTGTGCATAATTACCTATATGCAGGGAGGATATCCTCTAGATATAATGTGTTTCTCATTACACTTCAAGTACATAATACCCACCTGCCTAGTGGTCTGGAAAAGTACCACCCTAAGATGAATAAAAGTTATGGAAAAGTCCTGGAATTTCACAGTGCGAGACATGATTAAACCTATCTTGGCTGGATGAGCTATCAAATCACATGACTCTTTTCTGCTAATGTAATGCATTTCAGATTGCATTGCTGCCTATGAAAAATTTAAAGGGACTTAGTTATTGGCTGCTTCACCAAGCCAACCATACTATCTCCCATGTGATAATGCTTGTTTTATGCACCAATTTCTCCAAGATGGAAGGAGCCATTTTTTTAGATTAGCCTTTTTCTTTTTTTTTTCTTTTTTATTTGGAATAATTTCCATCCAGCTCTATTCTTGGTTTTAAGCAGTAGCACCCTGCAATGTTCACTAACCCTTTCTATACATCTCAGTGTGTGAGCATGCGGTTAATTGTTTTTCATATGTTCCGAAGCAAAAGCCGGATGAATCGTTGGGTGATAAAGTTACAGTTACAGGAGCATTAACCACTGGGCTACCCCACAGCTCATTAGTCCAGCTTAATGTAGTTGTAAAATGTGTCAAGATAAAATCTGAAGAAAAACACTCTGTTATTATTATTATTATTATTATCGCCATTTGTATAGCGCCAACAGACTCCGTAGCGCTTTACAATATTATGAGAGGAGGGATTTATATATAAATAGGACAATCACCAGAAAATTTACAGGAACGATAGGTTGAAGAGGGCCCTGCTCAAACAAGCTTACAGTCTATAGTAATATAATAAAGATAATGATAATCTAGTTAAATAATGTTTAAATGAATAATTTTTAACTCCATAGCATATAATACATTTTGAACTACATGCTGCTCTTGTAATAGTTTACACAAATGATTGATTAATTTCCAAATTAGGGTCTATTAAATCATATTGATTACTTAGTTATACAGTATAATATACACCGCTCTTTTAGTCACAGCTCTTTGCTGAATATCAAATGTCAGGCTTTTTAAATAATTTTTTTTTAATATTGTACACTGGCCTCTAATAAAATCTTTTATTTGCCTAGCGAAGTAGAGCATCCTGGAGCGCTCTAGCTCCCTCCAGTGTCTTATTTGTAAATTGCATATTCACTATTATAATTTCAGTTTTTTCTTGGTTTGGTTTTATTATTTCTTTTGAGAAGCAAGATTAGTTGAACTTAATTTGAAAGTAAACTGATGTTTAAAAAAATAAATAGGATAGTAACTACCACGATTTTAATTGTTTAAATTAAGTTACAGGGCTATTCACTAAACACCATGTTGTTGTTAATTTTAATCTGAATGGAAAAATTGAGGCTAAAATAGACAAGTCTAGCTATGAAGCTAGAATTTTTCCAAATCATCTATTTTTGCTTAGTTTCAGCCTTCATATTTAATTCACAAAAAATAAAAATTTAGTGCATAAGCCTGCATATTTTATTTCTCCACGAAATTGTGGCAACATTCTCTCATTCATAGGTTTATCAGCAACATGGGACTTTTGTAAATGGGAGTTTGCCAACTTTTCTTGGTAATTTTTGTAGAGCCTATATTTTATCTAGGTTAGGACTGGGCAAACCGTTAACCCCCAGATGTAAAACTGCAGCTTCCATGATGCTTTGTCACTCTACCGGCTCACAAAGCATCATGGCATTTGAAGCGCTAGAACATCTGATGATCTACTGTTTGCCTAGCCATGATCTAGACCATGGGTGCCCAAATTGGTAGATCATAAGCTACAGCTTCCATGATGCTTTGCCATTATAAAGGCATTCCAAAGACATGCAAAGTCTCATGGGAGTTGTAGTTCTAAAACATCTGTAGATCTACCTTTTGGGCACCCTTTATCTAGACTGAAGAGTGTTGTTTATTTTTCGATTATACTGAGTATTCTTTAACCCTTACTCATGTTGTTTGTTTTTTTTCCTTTCTTGACTCTTCTAGGGAGTAAAAGAGTTTAAGTGTGAGGTATGTGGGCGGGAGTTCACCCTGCATGCCAACATGAAGCGTCATATGCTGATCCATGCCAGTGTCCGTCCATTCCAGTGCCATATCTGCTTTAAGACGTTTGTGCAGAAGCAAACACTGAAGACTCATATGATAGTCCACTCCCCTGTCAAGCCTTTCAAATGCAAGGTACAAGCCAGACTCGCTGGGTGCAGAGCCAAAATTGGCACCTGCCGACAAGCCAATTATTCATTTCTGATGCATATTTAGTTAATATACATTTCGTAATCATTCTTATACTTGGAGATTTATTCACTAAACAATGACTGATCTCGTGTCCCAAATTTAGATAATTTAGAAAATGTCAGATCAACACAGCTTACTGTTTGGTTAATAAAACCTTTGCAGTTTGAGGCAACATGGCATCCAAACAGGGCCTGCATTGCCATAAAGCAGCACAGGGGGCCGCTTTAGTGCGTAAAATATGCTTCCCTAGACACATGAAACTCCGTCTGCCCTATGTTGCATGCAAGGAGGGGGTGCACAAAAATCCTTGCACCAATCCTGCATCCCATGCATCTCCACTGGACAGAGTACTGTAAATATTGCCAGTGCTGTCCTATTCTCTAAGTGTACAATTATATTTCTGTTCCAAGTATCTGTTCATATTTGTCTTTTTAAAGCTATATTATATGTTGGACCAAAATGGTCCCTTTTTTGTCTTGTGTGAGGAAAGAGGATGTAGGATGTTAAAAATGTTAAGGGATTTTTCACTAAATGTCTTTTCTATCTTCGCTATTTTGGCATAAATTTTCATGTTTCGATTTAATTAATTGTTTGTTGGATAAATGACCTGCACAGTCGTAAATGCTTGTCCTTGCTCAGCAACACCCTCCAATTTTTACTTGTTCCTCTATAATAAAGCAGCATTATATATTCAGCCTATGTTAACAGTGGAGGTTCTATCAGTGCCATAGTGCATATACCTTTAGCATGTAAAGAATCTCAACATTCCATTCTATCTAGGCCACGTTCCATCACATAAAACCAACTTATACATAGTTACAGATAACCATTAATCTCCCACTGTGTTGCTTTATCTTACCATGCTAGTGGAGGGGATTGGACTTATTAAACTCTATTAAACTGTTATGCATAGTGCCATAAGCAGTTCCATAAGCAGAATGTTCTTTGACGTATGCAATATTATCTATTAAACCCAAATGGAAGTGTTCTGGTTGGCGGGTGCACTAAGGTGTCATGAGTGGGAGAGTTGTCACCATGATAAGAGAAAGCTTTTCAGCCTTTATGCTTTTCTACAGATAATGGTGAGCCAGCAAGTAGACCGTCATCTGTTTTCTCCTTATCTTTGACCAACATTTAGCAGGCCTACTGGGCATTAGCATCCTGTTAACTCATGGTTGGAAATGTGGGATTCATAGTTCAGCCATAGCTCAAACACTGGTAAAGAGCTACTGTTTTCAGACTTTATGTAGAACTTGTGTGGTGCATTGGGAAACTCTGTAGTGTGTCTGACCCATGGATAGCATGAGTATGAACTCTCCAAATTGTGACACCCTAGTGCAGCAGTGGCTAAATGTCGGTACTATACTTGTGAATATATCCCATGATTCCTATCCAGCCAAGTGGGGGCAATGTTACTGTTGTTGCCTTAGTGTATGTCTCCTCGTTTCATGGTCATGCCGTGTTCTCATTTGTGCCTTTCTACAACTTTCTAAATTAGAATGTTTGTTTATATTTTCTTTAAGGTTTGTGGAAAATCGTTTAACCGAATGTACAATCTCCTCGGCCACATGCACCTTCATGCTGGGTACAAGCCCTTTAAGTGTCCCTACTGCTCCAGCAAGTTCAACCTAAAAGGCAACCTCAGCCGACACATGAAAGTCAAGCATGGTGTCATGGACACCAGTCTAGACAGTCAAGGTATGGAACCAAAGACTATGGAACACCATAATAAAAATGATGCAAATAATGTAATAGTTCAGCACTTGTAAAGCTCTGCACTAAGCTAAACCCTCCAGTGCAGGGAGTCACTCATTGGCTGATGCTCTCAGCCAGTGATCCAACACTACACTGCTTGGCTTAGCTCTAAAGTCACAAACCCCAGGTAAGTTGGTAAACCTTAAATGGTTTGATTAACTACCCTGACAGGGCGCGATGACACTCCTGGTTCCTCTGAACTGTTCCTTTAAAGTAGACATGCTTGGACTGTTTTTATTACAGTGAGTCTGTTGTAGTCTGAGTTCTCTCTTTGCTTTGTCTTTCACAACAGAGACGTTTTATTCACTTCAAAAGAACTTTGCATGCAATACAACTCCTAAGTAATTTGATACAGCCCTCCTATAGCTTTCTATGAGAAAGCTTGTTCTGTAGTTTCCATGGTAAATCTCCTGATTTAAGAAAAAAATTAGCTATTCATAAATTACAGCAAAAGTTATAGAAGCCAGAAAATTGAAATCTAGTTCTGACTTCTGAACATTATATGCCATAAATCCCTAAATCCCTGCTTCACAGCACACTCATTAAAAACATTAGGAGGATGAGGGACAATTTACTGGGATTCACTGTGTTTGACGGGCCCATCAAGTTTTACATATTCTATAATTATTTAGATTAAAAATATACTATAATGGATCTATGGAGCTTTGAATCTACTCTCATTCCAACTAGCCTTTTGATGAAAATTCCCTCCACTTATACATTTTAAAACTGTGTTATTTACAAGCTTATGCACTATAAAATACATAGAAAATGTATGGAATCACTGTAGAAAAGATTTATAAAGATGTAAGCAAAGTTGTATTGAAGAAGGTCTAGTGAGTGTATTTCCAGTTTTACAGCCTGGTGTTCTGAAACTGATCTTGTTTATGTACAAACATCATTAGAGGGTGCTTGATTCTGCATACTTTTGCTAGTATTGTTCATACAATTGGAGTTTGTGGGACTTTCCAGGAGTGTGGTCACTAATATTTTATTGATTTCTTGTTTTATGTATCACTTTAGATCCAATGATGGATCTTCCAGACCCAGATACCAATGACATGGATGGCCAACAAGAGATGGAGGACTATGAGGAGAATTCATATGGCTACAGGGAAGAAGAAAATGTGGCACGTGACCAGACTATGAAGGAAATGGTCTATTATAATGTCTTGTAGTCAAACAAAGAGAAGCCCAAATGTCATGAAAGTACTCGTTTTGTATCCTTTCACTGTTAAGAAAGGACTTAGGGCTCGACCTCTGTGAGAAGAGAGCCCTGTATTTGTCACTTGTGACCTTACCTCCTAGAGAATTGTCATTGAGATACCAGAGAAGACTTTTTGGGATGCTGGTGCATTTGCCCACTCCACACAGGAGTTTATGAAGAAGGATTTTGGCTCAGGAGTATTGTCTTATTTTTTTCTAGGCTGTGAGTCACCTCTTTGCCTTGACTTACACAATCTTGAACTGTAGAATGATCGTGGCCCTTGTAAGGGTCCTGCACAGACATTTATTTTTTTTGTAGTTGGAGCACTGGTGTTTTGAACTGCTTGCTTTTTTTTAGTTTTTTTTGTGTGCGTGTGTTCTATATGTGTTCTTTCAGTTTTTCTAGACGTACGGCACAGCGCCCTGAATGCTACCTACCAAGATACTCGGCTACAGTGTAGTTACCCACACTGTTTATTTGACGTTCGGAATTTGTTGTCTTACACTGAAGGGGATATTCGGGGTTTGACTGTAACAGATACAGAATGTGAATCAATACCAGTTTTCCTCCAGGGCAACCATGTTGTTCAGCCAGTGGAAGAATGTTTTCAATGTCCTGCTTATCAAAATTCAGACACTAATCGTCATGGCCTCTAGGTGGCAGGGTAATACTGTGTAGCAGTATATTATTGACCAGGTTCCTACTTGTCTCATCAAGGAAGGAGCCGGGCTGTGAAAGACAAGTTTTAATCATTCAGGAAGGGAAGAACAACATGTTAGTATTAGTTGCAGCATTGCAAACTGCCTTCTACCTCTTTGCCCTCTACTGTAGCAAGTTTGTTGATGTTTTATACCCTATTTCACTGTCTACACTTCATGTTATCAATTGAACAGATCTGTCTTCATAGTGCAGATAGTATAATTTACACAAAGGCTTTAAAGAAACAAATATTATACTTACAAATGTGTATTTTCCCTATAATTAAATATAAGCAACTGTAAATTCAACACCTAATTATGGAAAGCAGGGCTGCCCAAAAGGTAGATCCCCAGATGTTTTACAGCTTCCATGATGCTTTGCCCTTCTAAAGGCATTCTAGGCATTCTAAATGCATGCAAAGCATCATGGGAGTTGTAGTTCTACAACATCTGGGGATCTACCTTCTGGGCACCCCTCATCTAAAGGAAACGTTAGTTAGGGTTAAATTGCCCCATCATTGTAACTGTTTCAAAAACCTAGCACCAGGTGGGAATGTTGGATCTACTGGACAAATTTACGACCACATCCCTAATATTTAAAGCAGAGCAGTCACTTTCATGCTGCACAGGCCCATGTATTTTTACGGCTTATCTCTACAGGTGGCATTATGTTGTCTTGGACACAGAAATGCTGCATGCGTGTTTTATTTACTTCTGTTGTATTACTCATCCTAGTAACTGCCTCAGTAGCTTTTGCTGGTGGGATGGGATGATAACCTGTTACATATAGAGATGTTATTGTTCTCCTTTAACGTTATCCCAGTTACTAACATCCTATACAAATGTTAATTGATGGAGATATGACAGGGTGATCTAATGTTAACGTTCTAATGAGACCACAAACTCTTTCACAGCACCCATCCCTTTTCACTTATTTTCATTCCAAGAACTATGTAGCCAAAACTACTCAAAAATACATTTAAAAAAGAAACCCTGGAAACCTCATTTATGTATGACCACTATAAGTCAGGGAGATTGGAAAGATGTTCATGTCCCTTAGCAGGAAACACAAGTGATTCAATCCATAAAACTGATCTACAATGGTCTGTGCACAGCAGAGACATATTTTTATTTTTATTGTTCAAGTGAATGTCTTTCTCTGACTGATGTAATCTGTCTGTTTAGTTCTACTAAATCTTGCACATTATATAAGCTAAAAGCACCAACCAATCTGAGTGATTTAAGCACTGGGTTTAGCTGCACTTACCCCCCATTTGCACCCAAATCACACTCCATATTACAAATTTGGTGTTTAAGTATTTAACAGCACCAACAATTAATCAACAGGAAAAGTGTGCAGGCGTATGTAATTATATAGGATTTCTTAATCTGCTGTAGGACAATTAACGGGAAGTGTAGGGCACAAAATAAACTGTGGGATCAATAAGGGAAACCTATTGATTCTAATAGTGGTTACAAAGTGTAGATGGAAAGAGTGGGTTGAAAGAACGAACACCTGAAATATGTTTGAAAGAATAAAGTATAATTTTACATTAGGCATTCAGTGGCCAGCACAACATTTATTAGAGCATTCCAGTACTCCAGCAATACCTCTGCCAGGTAACTTTCCATCCAATGCAGCAATATGCCATTCATATTCAGTGGGATTTAGAAGTGATTCTTTGTCCACTAAACTCACAAAGATCACTGTGTTGGTTATGTTGTAAAAGTGGAGCAGTAACCATGGAAACCAATGGAATGTTCCTTTCGATTGCTCACACACTTTCATTTGCCCCTACCCATTGTGCACAACCATTTAAGCCAAGTATACCATGCAAAGATCAAAGAAATATATAGTATAAGTTTATTTGTTTTATGTTAGCTTTTCCATTTTGTTATGTTATTTTGGGTCATCTCACTGTTGCGAAAGATTGTTAAACAAAAGAAATGTAAATGTTTGTTCCAAACACACTCAAACTACACAACACCAAAGACAGATCATATAAAGCCAAAAAAATAGCTTTGTACCCCAGCACAAACTTGGAAATCGTACAGAAAAAGCACATTTAAAATGTTGCATTGTACCGTTTGTGAGCGCTTAGAGAATGGGAGAGACACACAAACCACAAAAACAAAACAACAAAAAACAAAAAAACTTCCCTTAAGGGGATAATATAGCATGTAGTTTTCACAAAACGCACATCTTATTAGTTTGTTTCAGAATCTTTGTTTATGAGCCACACTCTCTGAACCACTACCTGAGTAAGGAGATGTAAAATAGTACAGCATTGTCAGTAATATCATTGGCCCAGGATTTAGAGATTAAAGAGGTGTATTGAACCATTGACTGATCCTAAGTGTCTATTCAACAGCAAGTTTAATCCAAAGAAGCTGAATTTCTTATTTTTGTTTTCTTTCCTCCACCTCTGCCTTCTTAGATGATATTATTAAAAGTCTATTGTTATCTCACAACTTGTTATTTTGAAGACTGACCTTCATAATGTGTGTAATTGAGAATGTCCCTAACCATGTTTGGGAAAACTTGTACTGAGGAACAATGGTGTGGCTGAGACTCATTGAATTGAACGAATATCTCTGCTCCAAATAATGCACTAAGGTACTTTGTTATTACAGCTGATGTGACCTATTTAAGTTTACAGCAGCATGAGTGCTAGTGAATAGCCATCATTACACTATTATCTGGACAGCAAATACCAGATAGACCTGTAATCAATTGTTCTTACTTATTTATTATTCATTATCACTGGCCGTGTGTGCATAGGAGAGGGCAAAGTTATAAAATCTAGCTTATTATAAATCACTTTATTACCTTTTGCTAGCATTAACCTGTTGCATACGGAACATAAGGTGATTCAGCGTGGATATGTGTGCATATTACTGTCTAAACTGCTTAACTTCTCAAAGCCAAATTAGCATGTTTGTGTTATTAAAAACCATCCAGTGGCACATACAGACCAAACTACCTCTTGTATCCTTCATACCACACAACTTAAACCTCAGCTACGTCCGACATTAAACCTAGAGATTGTATTGATAACCACTAAAGAGATTTCCAAACAGGTGGCTTGCTGGTGTATATTGTTTATGAGTTAACAAAAGTGGAGCCATATTAATATGGTATTGGGAGATGGAGAGATCCTGCCAAGAATTGGAGGAGTAAGGATTTGAATCATATACATGGTTGTTCACTAAAATGAGAATTCAAGGTGGATTTCAAATTTAGAGGACCATGAAGGTCACCCTATGTAGTGGTCTGGGTGCAGTGGTCCTGTCATTTTAACCCTGCAATATTTACATTGCAGTGTGGCTGCCATCTTCAGAGACACAGTGGCTGCTGCAGCAGAGGGTGGAGGCACTTGAAACACAGTAAGTAATCTTAACTTTAGTTATTTAATGCCTAAGGAGGGTGGAAAGAAGGGAACCTATAGGTCTGAAAAAAAAATATCACGACTATAGTTTCCCTTTAAGTCCAAAATAACCAAATTGAACAAATCATCTGACCACTTGCTTACAGATCTGTTACTTTGTCTTAAAATTTGAAATTCACTTGGAATTCTCACGTTAGTGAATAGCCCTGATCATTTCTGCCGTCAAGAGAAAGCACATGGCTGAAACATGACACATTTTAGACTATATGTAAGAAAGGGCATTGATGCAAAAAAGCGAAAGATATTTTTGTGTTATCTTCAAATTGCAGTTTATTAAATCCTGTGTTGCATACATTTCCAGTTTAAATGACTTTTAATGATCCATGTAATGCATGTACTCTTCTGTTCTTGGCTAAAATACTTTAACCAGGATTTGTGCTGCCCTTAAAAAGTGAAAAGATTGTTTTAAGAACAAATGCTGAGGAGGCTTCTCAAACATAGTGACAACTCACCCCCTTGGATTTATGCTGAGTAGTTGAGATAGTAATGTCGGATTGCTTAGATCTTAACAGTTTGAGTATGCAGAGTGCAAAATTAAAACCTGTGTTTTTTTTTTGTTTTTTTGATGACTCCGCTGACTCTCTCAGCCAATGAATGACCGTAAAGATCGACATCCAGCTTCTGCTGCTCTGAAACCAAATCTACCGTTAAGACACCCAGGCAAGAGGCAAAAGTTGCAAAATGGTTTGTGCTCTTATCTAGAGGACATCACCAGGGTCCAACTAGCATCATAACCACTTCAGCAGGCTGTAGTGGTTATGATGCTTTGGGTTATCCCGTTAATCTTCTGTTTGGTTCAGGAAAAATTACATTTCCTTTACACATTTAATCATAATTTCTATGCCTGTCTGGTCACAAGATGTCTTATAATACAGCCCTCTTAATAAACAAATTGGAACTTCTGTGACAGATAAAGCTTTATCAGAGTATTGGTTATACCATACTAGTGTCTGTGTGTCTTGCAGCAGGGAGACAGAAAGGATGGTTTACCTTTTTGTTCCGATAAGTGGTTTAAGTCAAGCCATGAAATCTATCAGTGTATTTATGATGTGCTGTCGTATTAACTCACACCTGCCTCCCTTTATGCTAAAAGTGAAATGTTTGCCAAAAAAAGCTTGTGTGCAACAATGAGATGAGGTTAATGGAATGAAATAGTCAAACATGCTACCATCATCTTTCAGGTAGCCTTACTGGACCAAATCGTAGATGTTCATTGAAACAAAATATTTGTCACTGTGCAGAGCTCTACTGTGTATATTTACCATTTAAAATGTTTACTTGGCAATAATTAAATATCTAGTTTATTTATGAGTGAGATGCACCAATGTCCAAAATGCATCTTTTTGTTTGTTTGTTTAATAAATATGGTATTGTAACATTTACTGTGTACTGTATATATTTTTTTCCCCACTCCTGTTCATTTATTATGTTAAACTATCATCTTACCGAAGAAAAAGAAGAAATTGGGTTGCATATCCAGAGTCTTCCTTTAGAACTCCACAAACAGAAAATACCGACCCTCCCTAAACTCTCGTTCCACACCCCAACACCAACCAACATTAATATTAATGTAAATCAGATAAATTATTCTGGTTCCGCAATTGTCTAGTTTAGGTCTGAACAATGTCTGAACAGGTGGCAATCCATGGTATCCAACATTCATGTTTATTTTCCTTACCCAGTCATTTGTGACTTTGTTTGAAGAATTAAAGGTATGTCAACCAATTCTCTACGTTATATTGCTTCTAGGCTAGTGAGTCCAAACGATCCATTCTGAAGACAGTAGGAATTCTTGAAAGAAAGGGAATTACCTTCAGTAAATTACTGCTCAGGTTTCAAAAATAGTTTTTGCTCACTTGTGCCATTACAGGGAGAACATATTCTGTAGCATATCAGACTGATCCCACCTGTAATGGCAGTCCAGAACGAAATATCGGAAACTATCATCCGGGGTTGCTGTTACTCTTTTGCAGAGAGAACTTGCCAGCATTTCGGGTCTGGACTGCTCTGGATTAGTCTGATATGCCTTGGAACTGGTGTAATGGCACAAGTGAGCGAAAACTATTTTGAAACCTGAGCATGGATTTACCAAAGGGCAAGCTTCTCAGTTTCTCTAAGTTTTGTCTGTTCTCAAGAGATCTTATAGCCTCTGTTTTTGTTGCAATATGACAACTTGCTCGGTTATTCACTGAAGTGTGAAAATACTCTTCTAAGAAAAATATCTGTGCAAATTACCAGATTTTCCCAGAATTCTAAGGTGAATTCACTGAATGCACCCATATTATTTTGTAACAGTATCAGCTAAAAACAGTATCAGCTAAAAATGAAAATCAAATCATAGCAAAACTAATATGGTCATTAAAATTAAATTTGCTCAGATGTGTTCCAGTAGTAGTGACATTTGCAAAATAAATTCACCAGCATTTGGAAGTCATCATGATCTTGCAAACAGCCTGTGGGCAAATCATTATAAAAGAAACAGTCAGTCTCCCCAGAACCAGTTAACTAGGGGGACACAAACATGTGATTCATAGCATCAGTGTATAGACCACATCTTTGTGCTGTAGTGGTTATGGTGTCAGGAATGCCCTAGTTTGCCAACAGTTTAACTTCTAATCAGGAGTTTGCCGGCACTACTCCCTTCTTTTCAGAGAACCAGAGGCTCTTTGCATAAAGGACTACTGTAACCACAAAACTATTTATGTAATATAATTATTTACATCAAGTTTTGAAACAACTTTGTTTTGTTTTTTAATGAAATATGTTAAAAATATGAAGAAAAACTCATCCCTACCTTCAGCCACATACATGCACCTTGGGGTAGATAGTGTTTTAAAACTGACAGTCTATAGTCTTCCCTGCTTCGCTCCCTGAACAGAAGCAGAGAGAATTAAAGAAACTATTTTCAACCACTGTCTGACCAAAGGTGCATGTATGTGGCTGAAGGATCATGTTATATACTAAACGCAGGAACGATTTTCTCATTTTTTACATTATTTTACATTTTTATTAGGTTTGCAAAGGAGAATAGCAAAATCACAAAGAAGACTTTGCAGAGAATGCTACAGTGAATATGACAACAGGTGCAGGTCATGACAAAACAGAAGGTCAATAATCACATAAAATGCCAAGTTTCATGAAAAACCATTGACAAACAGTGAAACATGAGACACATTTTGATTATATATAGCGCTTTAAAGAGCTAACAAGTGAAAGTCATCTAGACATTTTAAATGTAAATCCATGTGTGTGAGCTGTTTTAAGTATAGTCCTGCATTTATTATGTGGCTCAGGTGGTGAGATTCCAGTGATTTCGAGAATTAAAACCAGTTTTTTAATGACATAAAAGAAAGGGAAAATGCAATCAATTTGGGGGAAAAGAAAAAAGTGTGTGTGTGTATATGTATATATAATTTTTTGTGTGTGTGTTTGGCACATTTAGAGGACGTATGAAATAACAAGAAAGAGGCAAAATGTGGTAAGAGCAAAGTCAGTTGAGGTGTGCCGAAACTGACTTGAGGTTAGACCTGTAAAAGAGGGCCCACCTAGGTGAAGTGAGAATAAATAGAGGGTATGGTGGGAGGGGCACTTCCGAGATCGTAGCTGACAGGTAAGCAGGGGCTCACTGGGTTTAAATAGGGTACAAAGTGCCTCCCACAATTACAGGCCAAGCCTTCTATTTGTGTACGGCACATTTAGAGGACGTATGAAATAATAAGAAAAAAGCAAAATGTGGTAAGAGCAAAGTCATTTGAGGTGTGCCGACACTGACGTGAGGTTAGACCTGTAAAAGATGGCAAAAATATAAAGTCAGATACATTTATTTAAGCATAACATTACTTAAACATTTCACGGAAAGCCAATCTTATTTCTTTCTCAGGATTGGGGATGTATCTGATGTATGCGGATGATTTCCAGCGACCTATATTTTTAATGATATGTGTTGGTAAGTGATTTCCGGAGGCAGATGTGGCTGCTCCAATACAGAATGAATGGCCCGAGAATGAATGTGGGTTATGTCCTAGCCGGAGTAATAACGTACGAATGTAAAGTATGAATTGTTTGGTGGTGAGGGGTTTTCCTTGAATGGCCAATAGTGGGGAATCAGGGTTGGAAGTGAGTTGGGATTCCACTAGTTTATGTAAAACGTGGATTGGTTACCATTTGGTAGAGGTAGGTTAATATTTAATCTCTACTGGTGGACCCATTTGGATCGTTTTGGTATGGGTAACTGACAAAATGTAGTGGTCCTATTTTTTAATTAGGTGTTTTTGCTAAAGGCATGAATTAAAGTCGGATGCCTTTTCTACAGAGAATTCTTTAGGTCTTAAGAAACCATAGAAGGCTATGTAAGCCGCGGACTTGATAAGTAGGTTCGTGGTTTATTCAAAAGGGGACTTGTCAGTACACCGTTTAGGAGTATCTCTGATGTACTAGTCTATAGGAAGTCTCTTAACCCCTTAACGCCGTTCTATGCCGTCCCGCTTTAATTGGGCTTTAAAGCCGTTGCAGTGGCATAGAACGCCGTAACGGCTTGCAGCCCTGGAGCGCCCGGTATACTTACTTACCCGGCGCTCCGCTTCGGGAGGACTGCCTGACAGCCCAGGCTGCCCTCCCACGGCAAATGAGGGGGCCATGTGATCGCTCTCAAAGAGTGATCACATGGCCCCCTATAGCTGGCTGTGGATCTGCCTGCAGGGGGACTGTCTGAAATATCAGACAATCCCCTTGCTGGTGGGAAATGAAAAAAAAAAATTAAATATGTTTTAAAATAAAATAAATATATTTATAAATATATAATATATGTATATATTATACATATAATATATATATAATGTATGTATATATATTATACATATAATATATATACATATTATATATATATGTAACGTTATACATAGTGTATTTTAATATTAATATAAGCACATATATTAGTATTAAAATACACTTAGAATGACGTTACATATATATAATTATATATGCGTATTATTATTATTATAATCACAATAATAAATAAATAAAATTAATAAATAAAACATTGAAACAAAATTTAATATAAATTATATATTCATATGTAATTTCATTCTAACGTATTTTGTTATTAATATATATATATATTGGTAACAAAATACACTTAGAATGACTTTCAATATATATCTATCTATATATAAAATACAAATAACCGCAAATATATATATATATAGATAAATACATATAATTACATAAAAGATTACATTAGTATACACGTAGAATTTAAATACCTATAAATGCATATTAAAATTCTACGTGTATATTTAAGTAATCTTTTAACATAATTATGTGATTTGATTAATTAAAATTTGATTGACATGCCTGACAACACAGGGAGAAAGTGCAGAGAATTTAATTTGCAAGCACTATATTTGACCCTGTAACTCTCCAAGACCAAAAAACCTGTACATAGTGGGTACTGTTTTACTCGGGAGACTTCGCTGAACTTAACTATTAGTGTTTCAAACTGGTAAATTGTATTACAACGATGATATTTTAAGTAAAAGTTACGTTTTTTGCATTTTTTACAAACGAACAGCACTTTTATGGACTATATTATTGTTGTTATATGTTTTACTGTTTTAAAACACTAATATTTGTGTTTAGTGAAGTCTCCCGAGCAGGGGAGGGCTGGCAGCCTTAGGCCTGGGGGGCAAAACCAGTCAAGTGGCCCATTGCACCACCAAATCAGTGCAATGGTGCCCAGCTAATCAGTAGCTCTTTGCCATATCCGCTCCTTCACGGCTCTGACTTTCAATGTTGCCAGAGCGCAGGCTGAGAATCTCTGAGCCTGTGCTCTGACTCACTAACTGAGCACCGGAACCACAAGGGAGAGGCTATAATCTGACTGCACCTACTGCTGGTGCGCACCAGTGGACCACCAGCGAATCGTTTAAATTGAATAGGCTGGTGTCCCCAACTTGTGAGCTGTGTTGTCCGCAGGGCGCCTCTGTTGTGATGGCACCCTGCGTGACCGCACAGCGTGCACACCCCAACGGCTGGCCCTGTTGACACACACTGATGTTACTACTTAGAAATCCCTCAATATTAATACAGACATCAGAGTAAACACCAATAAACTGTGGAAACAGAGCTGATCCCACCCAAATTTATAAAGATTTGCTTACTGGATTTGTTGTAAGATTAAATCATGCCTCCTCCTCTCTCTCTCCCATGCACTGCTCTGTAAGCTGGGAGGAAGTGAAGAGTAATCACAATCTCCCAGTACAGTGGCACCTGTGGCAGCATGGGGAACAGCTGTATTTGCCGCCCCCCATGTGACATCACAATGCCCCACCTATATGAGCTGCCATACGAACTAACGCCAGTGCTGCCCACAGTGTGT